GGCGGGAAGGGGTCAGAAGTGGGCGCTTTGAGGCCTTCCCGCCCGGCAGCCCCTCGAAAAGAGGGGCCGGGGCTGGCAGGCCCCCCCCCCCTTCAAAAAGTTAGATCGGGGGGGGGGGCCTCCAGCCCTGAGCCCTGGAACATATATAAGTACAGTCATATTAATGATTAATGCAATGGATACAATCAAAATATGATACAGCAAATACTTAGACAATCTTCATAATTGGAACAAAAATATGCTCATCATGGTACGTCGCATAGTTTTACAATTTGGGGTTAAGTAAACAAATACCATGCTTCACTGGGAAAAAACGCAATCCGCCAAGGCTTATCTCATTCTGAAAAAGGAACTCGGCAACCATCGCAACTCGACATCTGTATTCCTCTGCCTCCTTTTTTTCGAGGTTTTTGTCGCTTGCCGCTGCAACAGCCTCGGCGCTCGCGACCTCCTCAGGGCTCCGTTTTGGAAATGATTTGCCGAAAAGTCTTTTTAGCTCATTCACAGAGGGGCGAGAGCGTGGGAGAACGTACAGCGCATGTCCATTCGTGTTTATTTTACTCCCAGTATCGATTTTACTATGGAAAAACATCCAAACCTCTTCGAAAAAGGGAATATCAGCATCTTTGTCGCAGCCACCGGCCTTGTAGCTCAGGGACATGTACTGCGTCCGAAAGCGCGGCATACCCAATCCGCGTGAGCAAGTGGAGGCAAGCGACATCAGCATGTGGACTGACCATTCAGTGCGCCCCATTTGGGGTAATAAATACGTTGCAGTACGGCCTCTGAACATGGAGACAGTAGAGCTCCACCAGTTCCGGTTGTTCGCATTCTTCCATCCCACATTCTTGATTCGTATCGTACGTTAGAACCACTCCGTCCCCGTTGGCATCCCTGATAACAGCATCTCGTGCTTCTAAGTCACTTAAGAAAAAGGGCACACATGATTGTAACAGAGAGGAACGAAGAAGACACGAGGACAACCCCAAGGATGCAAAATTAGGAGACCAGCCATAAATCCCATCGATTACTTCCAGCCAGTCTATTCCGAACGTGTCACTGGCGGTGTTCCACAGATCCTTCGGTCGCTTCTTTCCTAGTGGCAATTTAGAGTCTAGCCACTTGAGAAAAAGCGTCTCACAGTTTTCAGTGCGCTCTCTGTATTGCACCACGCTTGGCGCGTTCCTCGGCTCAGCTTGTTCCTCTATATCATCGTGCGGCGCGGAATCTGGCTCAGACACAGTAACGACACTACGCGGAGTAGAAACTGCGCTTCCAGGTCCGTTCTCCGTCGCACTTCTGGGATGAAGCGGCAGAAACAAAGACCCCCGTGGAGCGCTTGAGGAGGCACCTGCAGCGCCTGTGGATGCACCTGCGGCGCCTGAGGATGCACCTGAAGCACCTGCAGGAGCCTTCCCTTGTTTTTTGTGTTTCTGTGATGGAATGTGACTAGGTGGCCCCATGGTAGGTCTATTATGTTTTTCATTCAAACCAGCCGCCTGCTGTCCACTCCCCTCTTCGAAAGAATCTTGCGACGAAGACGCAAATTGGGATTGGCCAGGAGGACTAATTTGAACATGACTGTCTGCAGACCCTGGTTGCCTCCTGCTCCTGGTGCAATCATCTTGATTGCTAATATATTGACCACTGGCCTCCTGATTTTCACCTAAATGCTGCAGTGCTTGACTCAGGCGATTTGCCATTGCGGACAGGTCCTCATTGACTCCAGTGCTATAATTGCGTGGAGTTCCTAGCTCTGATTCGGGTTGCGGAACCGTTGATGCATCGAAACCTGCATTATCTCCTGCCTCTGGCTCTCCTGCATCTGACGCGGCACCTTCTACTCCACCCTCACGCTGCCCTGTTTCTACCGATGAAGGCGCCCGCGCCACTTCATCAAGTTCTGGAATACTTATTCTGTTGGAATTTTCGACATGCTGTTCCATTGTTGCTTCGCTAGAACTCCTTTGTTCGGCTTGTTGTCCTCCTACTGCGTCTCCGTGTACAGTTTGTGCCGTTCCTGCGGACGGAGGGAACTCAGCGATCAACTGCATAGGTCTTTCTTCATCTTTTCCAGGTTCTTCGACGTCCGTCCTTGCCTCTGCTTCGTCTTGGTCAGGTGGTACGCGTACGCCAGAGGCCTCCTCATTCAATAGATATTCTTGTCGCTCAGCTTCAGCCAGTGACCCGCTCACAGAAGGCTCGACTCCGGCTCGTTCTAATATCGGTAGAAATGTAGTGGGTTCTTCTTCCTCCTCTACCTGCTCCTCCCCAAGTTTTTCTCTTTGGGGCTGCAGTTCTTGTTTACCACGAATAGTATTCTCATCAAGCTCGACGGACGTTTTTTCCTCTGCTTGATCGGAGTTGCCCTGTTCTTCCTTCACTTTATCCAAAAGAGCGGGCTTGCTGTCTACCTGTTGCTTTGCCATGATTGTTGTTGAAGTAGCTGGCGCAAAAGTACTAGACGCAGACACACTGGCTTCACTTCCAGCACTAGCGCTTGACAAACCAAAGCCGCCATCGTGTAAGCGCTTGAGTGCTTTTCGTTTTGCGACCGCCTCTCCGAGAGAGACAGTTCTCGCGTGGTCTCTTGTTGTGTTACAAGCGTCTACTCCTGGATTGTTAGTCGTATCTTCTCCAGTGTCAGCCGATACCATTAACAAGTCGATGATATCAACATGTGAGGTGTTGCGATCATCACCGCTTGCTTTCGATTTCGAGCTCTGTATACCGCTACCGCCACCGGCTCCTGGTAACGCAGGCGTTTGCTTACTGCTGCTACTATCGTCTTTTGCTGCAGTTCGCCTACTTCCATGATCGACTTCACTTGTTCGCGTCTGTAATACTTGTCTTCCTGGCGGGAGGAAGTTGCCAAAGCCCGAAGATCTTGATGAGGTCAAACTCATTTGTTGTCGGGAGGGCGCTGGTGTACTCGAAGCCGGACCAACCATCGTAGCAGGCAGAGGAACTCCACCTGCACGGCTATAAGCTCTGCCTGTACCTCCCCCAGCTCCACCAAAAGCTCCGCCTCCACTGCCGCCACGACCACCTCCACTATAACCTCCGCCACCTCCACCTCCGCCAGAGCCTCCACCGCCAGAACCTCCTCCACCAAAACCTCCACCGCCAGAGCCTCCTCCACCAGAACCTCCGCCACCAGAACCTCCACCGCCAGAGCCTCCTCCACCTCCACCAGAACCCCCTCCACCACCAGACGATGAGCTCCCGACAGAGATTGACGGCGATGCACCACTCGTATGGCTGAAAGTGAACGAATTGCCAGTGGAGTTGTGCATCGTCGATGGAGGTGGAGGTCTTGTATTGCCAACTGCTGCTGCTGCTGCGACACCATGGCGTGCTGCAGTGGGGTCGTCGAGCGAGGACATTCTTCCAGTACTCGAACCATTACTAGAACCTCCACTAGTGCTAGAAGCCATATTGGAGGCAGAGAACGATGTCCGCTGGTCTCGGTTCGCTCTCTGAGAGAAGATTACACCAACAACCGTGCCTCCTATTGCCAGGCCAGCCATAGTGGAGACCAAGACAAAGAAAACAACTCTGGATAAACCACAAATACGAGGAGCTTGAGCTTCAGGTGGTCCCATAGGTTTCACGGCAGGAAGATCAGGAACAGGAACTTTATCTGTTGCAGCTGGTTTGTGAACGACTCCGTCCCCGCGCTCTGTGATGATCTGATTGGCATTAATATGCTTCTCTGGCTCTCGTGCCACGTCTGCAGCCTCGTCACCTGGAACTACGACTTGACTAAATTGACTACGCTCTTCGTCAACTTCAGGCTTTAGCTCCTCAGGCATGGTCTCCTGCGGTCCTGCCCACTGCGCATGTCCTGCTTGCGAAACCAACTTCAAAACAGGTGTCAAATGAGCGGCTCTGTTGTTGCTTGGACTTGGCCTTAATGGTAAAGAACAAGAAAAAGGCTTGTTACTCTCACTATGAGAAGTGTCATGAATCAAGATTTGTGCTGCGGACCATCGGTTTTGCCACTTACGCTGCAAACAGTGCTGAGTCAAAGCGACCAAATGAAAAAAAAGTTGTGCGTTTTCTGCTTCGTATTTACGATGATGGAGATAACGTATTTGCACCCGAGAGTCGGCTATCGCAAACTGTAAGCGATGTCCACAGCCCTCGAAATGTCTGTAAGGACTGCGTCCGTACAGCAGTTCATACAGAATGATGCCCAAAGACCAAATGTCAGCTTGCGGTCTCATTTTCATAGAGCCTACTCCCTCCTCCGGTTGCCAGAACGCTTCTGGAGCCATGTAACGCGGCGTACCGCACTGTCCGTGTCGCGAAACGTGCGTTTTGGTAGCATCCAGTGTTCTCGCCAGACCGAAATCCGACAGCTTCACTCGACCATCCACGACCAGACAATTCGCAGGCTTCAAGTCAAAGTGCACCAGTCCTGCTTCGTGAATGGCCGCAACGCCATGCACTAGATCCATCCACAGTATTTGAATCGCTACAAGTGACAGACTCTGTCCTTCTTCTGATTTCAAAAACGCTCGCAGGTCATACGGCGCGAATTCTAACAGGATATGAATCGCAAGCTCCGTTTCGAAGGCCTCATCCTCGTAAATCTGCACGACGTGGGGACAGTCCTTCAAACGGCGAAGGGCCTCGATCTCCGCTTGTAATAAATGGAGATTGCGTTGATCCCTAGCGAAGACAACTTTTAGCGCAAATGCCTCATCTGAGGCCAAGTCTATACAGCGGTAGACATCGGCGCTGGCACCGCTCCCGCAGTAGGCCTCCACACGCAAGGCTCGGCGGTGTCGAAATGTGACCGTAGAGCCGATACCGATGCGGCGTCCTACTACACCCTGCTCTACTGGTAGAGGTTCTTCCCCTTTAATATCCGGCACCACACCAGCCGCTTCTGCAGCGACAGCATCACGAGCGACCTCAGGAGGAGCTTCATTGTTTAAGCTTAGTACGTTTGGCAGCAAGGGCGCCTCTTCTTCTCTGACGGGACCAGCTTGCTCTTCTTCTTTCTGCATCTTCATCTCCGCGTGTTTTTCATTCTGCTCATGATGCTCCACTTCTTCCGGTACAACTACTGGTGCATCAGGAGGTCTTTCAAGAAAGCCTGGATCAAAAATATTCGAGGATGGAAGATGCACACCTTGTAGCACTGCTTCAGCTTCAACTTTGCCAGCTTTCTCCGTCACCTGAGTCGGAGGGGGAGCTGTAGGTGCTCCTGGACCTTGGCTAGTACTCGGACTACCACTAGTTTTAACGCTCGACACTCACTATCACTATTAGTGGTGATGATGATGATGATGATGATGATGGAGTTAACAACTCAAGAACTGCTTTCTTTAGGTTTCCCGTGAAGATTTTTGCCTATCTAAATGATCAGGAGTAATTCGTCCTTCTGGTTTCTCCTCTGAATGAATCAAGGAGGAACGCCTTCACTGAGGATAATACCTCGTCACACCAGATAGTGAGTGTCATCTAGGTCTAGCCTTAATCGTGGACTTTGTCTCTTGTGTAGCCTGATCCGCATTCTGATCGTGACTTCCTTGTTGCACCACATCAGGTGCAGGCACAGAAGTAGTTGCTTTTGTCAACGTAATGTCGGGAACCGCTGCCATTGTGCCGGTGGGTTCGTCACTTGTTCAGCGAAAATCAAAGCTCTGATATTCTTGAGTTTGATCAAAGAAATTCAAATGTAGTCTTCACATCAAGTACTTGTGGATACATGCATTCTCGTGCTCAGAGTGGGTAAAATTGTTGTTGAACGATGGGAGTTATTGATATTTGTTTATCATCGTATTGCATTTCTACAACGTCGATCAACAAGAAACAAGAAGGGACTACACACAGTAACATTCTTGTCGGTATACATAGGGAAAGGGTAAAAGAAAGGTCGACTGAATCAAGAGAAATACCTATGTCATAGTATGATTTTTCATAAAAAAGCATTACTCACGCTGATTATACACTGAGCCATTGTAGTATTCTTTGAAATCGAGTTTGCTCCAATCTATAATCATTAATCTTTGAATTATCGAAAAACCAAATAAGCTAATACTAGACACAACTGACACACCACTTCTATCGTCTAAGTACTACTACTACACTTAATCTACCAACTCCAACAAGGCTGAATTACTGCGTCATGTCATGTTATGCCCCATCCTATCAAATGGTATCGAGGTCTTTTCAGCCGACTTGTAACTTTTCTAGAAGAGAGCAAGAGGACCGCCTGATCGACTACCAAGCCACAGTCACTGGCTTACATACAACCAACAAGGCGAGAACAGAGAAGGGGAGCGAAAGGGAAATGGAGGCGAGAAATCCTACACCGAGATTGAAGTTGAACAGGACATTTGAGCACGAAGAAAAAAAGTGCTCGCTCGCCAGTTCATGAAATAAAACGTGTCATATTTATAAAAAACCATGGATTATTCTCCACTGTATCAATCATGATGTGGTACTAAAGGTCAAAAAATTAAATCTTCTACTAGATACTTTTACTTCTAACGTTGCGATTGAAACCGATTGACATTGACTTAATGCGACACAACTGTAGCGCACTCACCCGTGACTATTCTTGAGATGAAAAAGCAGAAGCACAAGACGACCGGTTAAGCATTGCTTTATCGCCTGGTAGTTTTTGTCGGCATGGGCATGCTAGGAAGATTGATAAAGATATTCCTATCTCTGATGAATAGCATCTGCATGGTTACAAGCATATCACGACTTTCGTCCTATAAATCGAAATTTTAGTCCCACCGCTCAACAGTTACAGTTTCTTTGCAAGAGCACGGGCATCTTCTCAAGTACTCCTCTACTTTTTGTCTCATCATCTTGTTTCTATTTTCATTCTCACAGTTGTACTAGAAGATATTACTCACATACATAGCAGATATGCCAGAATCAAGAATCAGGAGGCGGCCCCGCTCATATCAGAATGCCAGACCAGAATGCCACACCAGAATAACAGTGAATGCTGGACCGTGCCAATGGATTCAGAGTGCCGTTGAATGCAAGAATGCGCCAGTGAATGCAGAGTGCGGAAGACACATGATAGATTGATGATAGATCAAGCGGAGGACGTAAGACAGATGGTAGATTTAGGACAGTGAAGCCCCGAAAAATCAGTGAACGATTTGGATTCCCTTTGATTCCTATTCGATTCGCCACCATCTACGAATCAAGCAAAGAGCAGCTTGATGTTGTACCTAAAGTGATACTTCTAAGTGCCCTAGAAATAGATTGAAAGAGAAGTCAATAAGGGAAACATGAGGCTAGACTGGGGATCCTTTACATCGAATCCCCCCGAACCCAACAAAAACTGTGCGTACAAAAAAGAGGACCGTCCGGATGCGGAAAGCATTTGCTTGTCACCTCTTCATAATCTGCTGAGCACCGCAGTGACCTGTAGCCTAGAGGTTCTTTATCGTGTCACTTCAGTCATGTCAAGTCGTACTACCTCGTCCCCACGTCTTTGTCCCAGAATTGAGGCCGTTTGATATTTGAGCACCGTAGAAGAAGAGCTTAGATCTCAGTGAGGGCATCGGACCTCTTTTCTCTATGGGTATGGCATTGTATCAAGCCAATTATGAGCATTCCTTCGCACTACTTACATCACCGTTGTGCTTGTGCGATTGGCAATACGAGTGGCATTAGCCTAACTTTCTAAAACTAACATCGATGATGAATTGGTCTGGATCGTTCACTATCTAATGTCATTATCTTCTTCCACGAAGAAAACTCCATAGTCGTCGACATCATACACAAACACAAACTCTCACGATAAAGAGATTGTAAACAAGTACAAGATTATGCAGAGATAAATTCTAGAGATTGCTGAGAGTTAGAAATCAATATTTGATATTTTCAATATTACCCTCTCTATCATCATAGTTCAAGCATATTCATTTCCCCAAAATACTAGCAGTACGAAGACGATCTCATTTATTGAGGATGGAAAAAAACGACATTCATCCAAAAATAACATTAACAAGAAAGACATTACCTAGCATTGCGAGCAACAATAACGCTCTCTGATTTTCTCGTATTGCCGGTGGCTCGCTCCAAATCCATCATATTCGTTCGACTTCGACACTTCGCTCCACAGCTACTACTTACAATCAAACATTTGAAAAAAAACAGCCATTTTTCACATATCTTTCATCCGTATAGACTTGCTCTAAGCGGTCACTTTCTGTCATGTTCTCGTGCCCCCCTTTGAGGATGATGCAAATGCATCTAAGTAATATGTATAATGAATTATTCCTTCGCGCGATCGCGATTTACCAATGTCGAACTTCATTGTAGCAGCTTTACGCAACGGCCTGCAAGCTTTCCTACGTTTCTGTTCGATTGTTTCTACCTCTATGCCTCAACCCTACTGCACCACGCATCTCGCAAAGAAATTGCTTGCGCCTTCGCCGTTTTCACAAGTAAAACCATCCAATGTATTGCACTCGAAAGAAGTTCGTAGGATTGATGCACGCGTCTGCGTGTCGAAACTCTCCCCTTGCCATTTTTCCATCTTCTTCAAGAGGGAAGGATCCGTGTCGAGCGATTCTGCGAGTTGGATCTGGTAGGCCGCGTTCAGTTATTCTTAGAACAGCAATCGAAAATTCATTCTCGACGAGTATTTGGTCGTGTCCCTTTTAGACGATTATCTCCGTAACTAAATATTGATATTCATTTTTCAGAGATGCACAAGTGGTCAACGGTGAATTTTTGTGGAAATAGTCTTAAGCGTCTTTCTTCTCCAATTCCCTCTCGCATGTCATCGCGCGTTGTTCTGCAGCATCCGCATCATTCCGAAGCTTCAGAGACGCCTTCTTTTGCTTTGCTAAATCTTCTTTGACATTCCGAGTCGCCTTGTCTTGCCTTTGCAGGCTCTGGAAGGATAAGGCCGCAAGCTTTTCCCAGTCCGTCGCTGCTTTTTCTAGAGATAAGATCTTTGCAGACATAGCTGCAATCTCCTCCTTTTGCTTTGTCGCAATTCCTTTCCACACTTGTTAGAGGAAGGTAGGGTGTGCGCGTGCGCATCTTTGACATATTACCACACCAGCATCGCTAACATCATCTCCTTGTTTTTCTTAGGAAAACATACCTGCATAGCTAGGAACGATGCTAACGACACGCGACGATCGTACAGCAAGATGGATCTCAGATTCTGGCCTCCTGGAGGAGCCTTCTGGAGCAGCAGGACCGGAAAGGATCTCCATTAATAGCTAGTAAACTAGCCTAATTTACTAGCTAATTAACCTAGCGACGCAGAAAAAAACGATTTTTGAGAGTGAAAGCAGTTTTACTTGTGATAGCTTGCAGTGTATCCTTAATGTTGCACCACGCTCTCCGGCGAACTCGGACCCTTCTCCATGTGGGTAGTCTGAGCATGCCACAGCAAGGCGGCGAAGACGACGACACACGCGGGGAGCTTGACAGTGAGGACACGACTGCAACAGAGTCGCAACTGTTGCTGCGCCAACAAACTGTGGTTTCGGAGCTTCGCAAGACCCGTCGACCGCACAGGACCTACGACACCTGGAAAGAAGATAATCGACATCAGCCAAAAATCGGTAACTCGCTCCTGCTCGCTCTGCCACTATTAACTTGTATGTGTATCCAATCATGTAAACTTGTAAGTACCCAATAGATATAGAATTATAACTACGGGAGTACTAGTGCAAAATGTTGGGGTTCAGAGCGGGCGCGATGGAGGTGGCTACAACAGAACAAAACTTCAAAAAGTGCATACCTGCGCCAGCGGTATCGACAGCGCCTGAATTATCTGTCAAGGCATTTGAACTTCTCCTCTCGGAGCCGATGCGACTACCGTCCCTGGAACTGGATGACCGCGCCAAAAAACCTTTTTTTGAAGAATGTATTAAGCCGTGAGTCATAAAAATCTTTTTCTTGCAGCCATTCACTTCTAGTACTAGCCGCTCCTTTCATTCCGGGATGATCATGTGTTCTCTGAACACAGCCAGAGACTTTACAACGTAATATTATATTTATGTTGCTACCCAATTTCTTGTAAGCAAAAACGACAATGTCTTAGCTAAGCGCGTCGGAATTAAGTAAGATAATCTACAATCGCATGAAACATGTCCGCTGTAGACTATTCTGACTTTCAGTATGTTCAACATCACGTCATTGTACCTTCCTGAGCCGTGTTACCTTCTGGCGTTCCGGCGGCAGCTCTTGCTTTTGCATCTGGCATTTTCTTAAAGCTACCTCCAGCATCCTCCTTGAGCAGACGAGAATTATCCTTCGGGGAATTTTTTCAAGACATCTAGATCTACTTTTTCGACCAGAAAAAGCAACAAGAATCTTTGAAAAAGGGCCAAGGATGCTCGACGCTGTGGAAGGAGATGCACAAGTGTTGGCCTCTTAAGTGGTGCACCCTTGGAAGCAGATGTTCTAGGACGAGCGGACGCACTTCTCTTGGCCAGTGTCTTTGTCAGACTGTTCGTCGCATTTCTTAGAAGTTGTCACGTTACTGTTCGCCCGACTCTACAGTAAAGCTCCTAACTACCAATGAGACTAGACTAGAAGAAGGGACAGTCTGCAACTATAGAATATCACCGGATAACTGCGTACCGGCACAAGAGGGTAAGTTGTGGATAGATATCGAAAATCACTCAAAAAAAAGTAAAAAACGCAAGCATGATTCCATACACGTAGTTGAGAGTTACCTTCACAGAGGAGTAATCGAGAAGAACGAGAGGTCTCATATTGCAGTAGTTGCCTGCCTACTAGTTCAGTAATTACCAAAAAGAGCATCAAGGTGTGACCGTGGAGCCTCGTATAAAAGAGTGTAGTAGCTGTTTATATACTCCGCCTCGGTAGTTATTTTTGAGAGAGCATGCTTAGCTTTTTAGCTTAATATCATAGCTTTCCAGTAGACTCCGCAGCAGCTTTTTGTGGGTTTCCCTGCTCGGAGGCTGTAAATGAAAGCCATGAGTATAATACAGATGAGAGGTGGATCATCATCATCATCATCACCATCATCTTCTTCCTCATCATCACATAAAGTGTTCATCAAGTGTTGTGTAAAGCCACGTCCTTCACCACGTGGATTTTGAAGGAGCACCTTAGGTAGCAATAAATACTACATGTGTCTTGTAAATAGTATGCTGAACACGATCCACGAAGAGAAGCACCATAAGAAAGTAACGACCTGTAGTGATCTTTCCTACCTATTCGAGAAGCTAAAACATTAATCATGAGCGCGGAAAACAAATACACATCACATTTGAAACAAAAGTTACACAAGCACATTATATTACAGTTGCTCTGTACCAGGTCGAGATCGACTGTCGCTAGAAGGCGTTTTCAGCTGTAGACGAGGGCGTGGCTTCGACGCTGACCGAACAAGCTGCAACGAATCACCTGACAGATTTTAGATAAAGAATGTCTTCGACCGGGCCGCTGACACTAATGTTTCCAGCCCTACGTACAAGATGAAGATCCTTTGATGGCGTGCTGAGGAATGAAAGTGTGGGCATACACACAAGCACAACACACACCTAAAATAATTGTCCAAATAGATATTACCTGCCTCTTCGCGCGCGACCATGACAAGGTGCAACAAACGTGTTAGCATGGCAGTGCAGAGATCGTTCTCACTTGCCACTGGGCTACCATTGCCGACTTCACATTTCTGATTGTGGGTCAAACAATTACTTTTTACAATTTCGTCCCAAAAAAGTCCCATTATCGTTTTTGGATTTTCGGAACTCGAACCGCCGCTGACATCCCCTGCTCGAGGAACTTCAATCTCTGCATATATGTGTAGATCTTCGCTGTGCGAAGGATATTTGGACGAGCTCCCGTGTCCACACTGCGTATTCTTTGTCTCAGTTACGCCTGCTCCAGAGGATTTTTTTCCATCTCCTGACGCTATTTTTCCTTCTTGATGTCCCGACATGTGGTCCTGCTCCATATGGTTGCTCTGATGCATATTGATGCCCGGAACAAGACATAAGCGCAAACTCTTTTCCAGAGACAGTTCGCCTTGTCCGAAGGAGCCGACGTATTTGTCGCGATAGAAATTCCGCAGCAGCTCATCCACGGCGCGCAGGAAGGTATGTATCACAGCGTCACTCTGTGGATTAAAAGCAAAAGCATTCGAAATCAGATGCGACGCTTTTGGGGAGGAATCGCCCTTGTCCAGAAGAATTGTTGGTGGCTGAACTAACTGAAGTTGTTTTGTCTCACCAGACGAACCCGCAGAGCCCCCAGCATCTTGTTGTCCTCCTTCTCTTACATTCTCCAGAATCGATCTTGCGAGCTCGCCTTCGCATTCGTCACCGTCCCTCAAAAATTTGTGCATGTCCAACAGCAATTTCAGGTTGTGTAAACGAATCATACGCATAGCAATGTTTCGCTCTTCTGCATGCTCGTCGTCTTCCCCCACTCGTTCTGTCGCCTCTTTGGTGGGATCCGCGATCAGAAAGGAATGCCAAGCTGCGGTTAGGTTGCTGTCTGCCGCTGTATTATTGTGTTCGTGTTTGCGAGACAATTATATCGTTTACAAGATAGAAAGCGTATACACAATTTTTCGTAATGCTGCTGCGGATGAAGTTCCTCTTTGTCGACTAATACTATATCCTTATATAAATACTGAAAAATGAGGGCGACTGCTGTGTCCGATCCAACCAATGTGGCAATCTTGTTTTTGTTGACCTATGCGTATGAGTATGTTGATACAAAATATAAACATGGAGACCCTGAAATTATCATATGCAAGGAACCAACTTCGAAAACATCTTCTTGAAGATCTAAGTAATCTACAGCACATTTGCCATCTATTTACCCATGCAAAGCGGCAACAGCGTCCAACAATTGGCGTTAAAGTGATGAGCCGTGCTTTGCCGTTCTTTCCCATGCTCCCGAGGAAAAAAAATCATATCGATGCAAGTCTTTAGTTTGTTCTCCCATTCCTTCAGAGGCAGCAGGCCGTCTGAAGATGCGCTCACGACGGCAACACTCGAGCTCGAAGACTCGCGGGGAAAATGTTTCAGACTTTGCGGATTTATCTCCAGAAGCTTCAAGACTTCCTCGATGTTCAAATCGAAGAGACCCTTAGGTGCAGAGTCGCCCACGCGCTCATTCAGAACATTGAGCGAGGATGCAGAATAAGCTGCATTCTGATCGACCGCTTGCCGAAAAGGCATGGCAAAGGCGGAATACGCAAGCGACAACACAGCGGCTGCTACAAGCGGCCACATCGTGGTCGCGCCTCCGCGGCGTGACGAAAACATGTGACTTCTGTCGAATATGGAACCCATCATTGCTCAGGAAAGCCGGTTGGTATGATTCACAGTAGCTGCTTTTCTTCTTGCTTGGTAATCGTCGACACAATTATTTCCAGCAACAGTTACAGAGATTGATTAGAAAACAGACAGTACTCAAATACACAACGAGAGTGTACGAAAGCAGATGGATTGAAATTTTCAAAAAATTGAGGTACAAGAAAAGAAACAGAGTTTGATGAAGCGAAATTTTCGACAATTTTCGTTTAGAAATCGACTTGTAAGTAGCACGCCTGGTTCGCGTTTTGTGTCGGTGAAGTGGAATAGATACCATTAGACCTACATAGGAGGAAAAGCACCAGGCTTCTAAAACCCGCAAGCCATTTTTCAGTCGTGCAGGATGTTCTGTCTCGTGGTACAGGACTCCTTAGTTACACGTCCGATAAAAGTTTGGATGGAACAAACGCAAATCCAAAGGTGAATGTATGAAGATTAATCAAGATAAGTAGAAGAGAACCTCAACCGCCGCAGCTGATTATCGTATTCATTGTAGGAGATTCACCTTCATAGATAGATGCCATTCTGCCACTTTTTGCTCTGTGAGGAAATAAGCGGCTCAAAGCGATCTTCATCTTGAAGCTAGCTTTATTTATCGATCGGATCATTTCATCAAGCTTGCTTTTCAAATCGTAGAAAATTGACACCAGCTCAAGATTGTATGTGTCACATCGTGTTGACACGGGTGCTGCCCGTGACATGTTTACAAAAGACAAAGAATAGCCGCGTCTGCAGCATAACCACGGCACTTATACAGTAAGACACAAAGTAGGATCTACAGTTTTGATGGAGGCGGGGGAAAATACGCACTGCATGATAGTGCAAAATCGCAACGAAACTCAGCTCAAACTTACAAGTAGAGGAGCAGCCATTGCCTATTCTAAACACGAAAGCGTTCCTAGAGTGAGTGCTCTAGCTTCATACCTGCGCTTGGTCGTCAATGAATGGCTGGTCTTGCTTCTTGCGGTGAGCCCCCTCCCCTCTACAACCAGCTGTTGATGTTTTGATTTTTCTTTTCGTTTGCTAAGTTTTCATTTTCTGTCCAACAAAATAACCTTAAACAGCGTCTGCGCAAGCGCATTTCGAAGTTACACTAAAGTTGCACTCCAACTAGCTGCAACCAGGTGGCAATCGGTCTGATACATACGCTTCCATCTCTGCGACAAACAGCACACAGTAACAGAGTCATACCCCCGTGTATTTGTCCAAGAGGTCATCCAGGTGTCCAGGAGCTTGAAAAGACGGCACTGGTTCTCCCTGCGGCTCCGCAGAACTGCTTGACGCAGATCTCTTGGACGGCATTGTGCTCCCCAAAAAGTGGGCGCGCAGCGGCTCCAAGAGGTTCTCCTTATGCCAATTCCCCCACGGCGGCGAGAACCGATACTCTTCGAGAGGAAGAACACACAAGCGGCGGTATTTTTTAGAGTTCAGGCGTTTTGCCGTTCTATTTTCACGCAATGTTCTGCAGCTTGTCTTATCACCTTGCTAGACGACAATTGAAAAATAAGCGTGAAAGGCCAACGGCGAAAACCTCGAACCATAAGTTCTGCGCTGAGTGCTTTATGTGCATTACGTCGAAATCTTTGTCTCGTTAATATGACATCATGGTAAACCCGTTTGATCTCCCGCAGTCGGGAGGCGTTGTGTTGCAACCAAATCCAGCGAAAATTGTCATGCCTCCACTTTCCGTCATGCCCATCTGACTTTATCCATCGGTCACGTATTCTTCTGAAAGACTTTGCCGCGGCGTCGTGCCATTTCTCCCATGGTATAGCCTCGGGGATATCATCGCCAGCGTGATACTGCCAGCTTTCGGGATGTACTAGGTGGCCCCCGTAAGCCCTTAGCACAGTCAAAGAGAAATCATAGGAGTACTGTGGGACGCAATAACCTGTTGTGAAGTCCGATGATCGAGAAGCTCCAACATATCTCAATTTTCACAAAAACAAAATACAAATTGTAGAACAAGAACCTCGAGTTCATGAGGAACTACTTCTCACCTTTCAATCAAACAAATTTCCGAGAAATGACGTTCTAAAAGCACGTGAGGATCAAGATAACCTTAAGTTTCATGGCAGGAATAGTAATTTGATTGGAGAAATGAATACCGCCAACAACTTCAAGAAAACAGAAGAAATAACCCTATTGCCATGTTGAAACTGAAAGCCCACTATTGCTCTTCTTGAGAACGTGCGGGGAAATAAGTATTCAACAAACGAAAACTTATGTATATGCGATACCGTGCTTCACAGGAAAAGAGGGCAGGCCCACAACGGTAGGGTGGTTTTGAAAAAGAAACTCTGCAACCATAACAATGCGACATCTGTAGTCCTCTGTTATCATGCTTCTGGACTCCGATTCGGGATCCAAACTATCCACAGCGGATGGCGCCTCGCTACTGCGTTCGGGGAGTGTCGTGTCAGGAAAATGCTGCCGCAAGGTTTCCAAACCGAGCGGCGTTCGCCACACGCGGTGCTTGTCATTTTCAGGGTTCTCCGAACCCGTGACTTTGCTATGGAAAAAATCCCAAACCTCTTCAAAGAAAGGAACATCAACCGCCGCATTGCATCCGCCATTCTCGTACCGCATTTCTGCATACTGCGTCAGAAGCGAGTATTCGGCTCGTAATCTGCTGGGGTCATGGACCCGCTCATCCGCGCTGCGCGAACAGGTTGGTTGGAGCAACATCAGCAGACGCACTGTCCATCGATCCACCGGCAACTCCGGAAGCTTATCCAAAGTTGTTGGCACCCTTTTCCCTGGCAGTTTCCACGACTCTGCCTTCCTCCCAACTTCGTCAAGCCAGTCAATGCCGTGTCGGTCATTTTCAGCGCTCCAAAGATCTTGCGGAGTCTTCTTTCCTTCAGGGAGCTTTTTTGTCAGCCAATCAATGAAAATTTTTTCACAATTTTCCGTTCTGGGAACTCCCTCTGCACTGCCTGGACGCGGTGTCCGTTCGCTTCTATGTGCGCCTCCAACGTTTCTATTCGCGGCCTCGACAGCCGGCACTTGCGGCGATGACATGGCTTCACGATCAGGCTGCCATCCTCCAAGTGTTGGCGTTTCTTCCTTCTCCACCTGCTCCTCGTCCCCAAGTTCTTCTCTTTGCGGCTGCAGTTCTTGTTTACCACGACTAGTATTCCCATCAAGCTTCACTGACATTTTTTCCTCTGCTTGATCGGAGTCGCACTGTTCTTCCTTTACTTCCAGAAGTACAACCTGCCCATCTCGTTGTTGGTCTACCGACCTCAAAAAATTGTCAACCCTACTGCTTCCACCATCCTGAACCCGTGCGCTAGAAGACGTGGCTATGGCCGAAGGATCGTTTATTGTTGTTGAAGTAGCTGGTGCAGAACCACTAGACGCAGGCACCCTGGCTTCATTTCCACCACTTGCGCTTGAGAAACTAAAGTCGCCATCGTGCAAGGGCTCGATGTCGGGTGCACTTTGTTTTGCGACCGCCTCTCCGACAGAGATAGTTCCTGCGTGGTCTCTTGTTGTGTTAGATACGTCTCCTGGACTTTTAGTCGTATCTTCTGCAGTGTCAGCCAATACCGAGTCGATAATATCATTTGAGGTGGTGCGATCATCACCGCTCGTTTTCGCGTTCGAGCTCTGTGGACCACTACTGGCTACTGGCAATCTAGGCGGTTGCTTACTGCTGCTACTGTCGTCTTTCGTTGGAGTTTGCTTATTTCCCTCTCCATGATCGACTTTACTTGTTCGCGGCTGCTCTTCTTCACCCTTTTTCCTTCGCCTAGTACGAATAACAATAATCCTTTTTGACGGTGGCCTCTGACTCCTGTAATCCTTTTTACCAGTTGAGGTTGCCTCTGACTCGGCAAAGATTCGCGCTTGCTGGTGTGGCGCAGCAGCCCTAGCTGCATCTACATCATCCTCTGATTTCACTTCTACAAAGGACGTTTGAGTTTGCTCTTTTCGTTCCTGTCCTTGCTCGTTCTGCTGCTCGTGGTTTCCGTTTCCTAGCGGGAGAAAGTTGCCTGGGTTCGAAGATCTTGGCAAGGTTGAGCCACTCATTTGTTGCCGAGATGGCGCTGGTCGTTTGCTCGGAGCCGGAAAGTCAAGATCAACCGCCGCAGCCGCCTGAAAAACTCCACCTCCACCATGACCTCCGCCAACACTAGTATAACTTCTGTTTCCACCGCGCCCAGCTCCACCATAATCTCCGCCTCCACTGCCGCCACGACCACCTCCACTGTAACCTCCGCCAGCACCTCCACCGCCAGAGCCTCCTCCACCCCCGCCAGAGCCTCCTCCACCTCCACCAGAACCTCCTCCACCACGAGACGATGAGCTCCCGACAAAGGTTGACGGCGATGCACCACTCGTATGGCTGAAAGTGAACGAATTGCCAGTGGAGTTGTGCATCGTCGATGGAGGAGCTGGAGGTCTTGTATTGCCAACTGCTGCTGCTGCGACACCATTGCGTGCTGCAGTGGGGTCGTCGAGCGACGACATTCTTCCAGTACTCGAACCATTACTAGAACCTCCACTAGTGCTAGAAGCCATATTGGAGGCAGAGAACGATGTCCGCTGGTCTCGGTTCGCTCTCTGAGAGAAGATTACACCAACAACCGTGCCTCCTATTGCCAGGCCAGCCATAGTGGAGACCAAGACAAAGAAAACAACTCTGGATAAACCACAAATACGAGGAGCTTGAGCTTCAGGTGGTCCCATAGGTTTCACGGCAGGAAGATCAGGAACAGGAACTTTATCTGTTGCAGCTGGTTTGTGAACGACTCCGTCCCCGCGCTCTGTGATGATCTGATTGGCATTAATATGCTTCTCTGGCTCTCGTGCCACGTCTGCAGCCTCGTCACCTGGAACTACGACTTGACTAAATTGACTACGCTCTTCGTCAACTTCAGGCTTTAGCTCCTCAGGCATGGTCTCCTGCGGTCCTGCCCACTGCGCATGTCCTGCTTGCGAAACCAACTTCAAAACAGGTGTCAAATGAGCGGCTCTGTTGTTGCTTGGACTTGGCCTTAATGGTAAAGAACAAGAAAAAGGCTTGTTACTCTCACTATGAGAAGTGTCATGAATCAAGATTTGTGCTGCGGACCATCGGTTTTGCCACTTACGCTGCAAACAGTGCTGAGTCAAAGCGACCAAATGAAAAAAAAGTTGTGCGTTTTCTGCTTCGTATTTACGATGATGGAGATAACGTATTTGCACCCGAGAGTCGGCTATCGCAAACTGTAAGCGATGTCCACAGCCCTCGAAATGTCTGTAAGGACTGCGTCCGTACAGCAGTTCATACAGAATGATGCCCAAAGACCAAATGTCAGCTTGCGGTCTCATTTTCATAGAGCCTACTCCCTCCTCCGGTTGCCAGAACGCTTCTGGAGCCATGTAACGCGGCGTACCGCACTGTCCGTGTCGCGAAACGTGCGTTTTGGTAGCATCCAGTGTTCTCGCCAGACCGAAATCCGACAGCTTCACTCGACCATCCACGACCAGACAATTCGCAGGCTTCAAGTCAAAGTGCACCAGTCCTGCTTCGTGAATGGCCGCAACGCCATGCACTAGATCCATCCACAGTATTTGAATCGCTACAAGTGACAGACTCTGTCCTTCTTCTGATTTCAAAAACGCTCGCAGGTCATACGGCGCGAATTCTAACAGGATATGAATCGCAAGCTCCGTTTCGAAGGCCTCATCCTCGTAAATCTGCACGACGTGGGGACAGTCCTTCAAACGGCGAAGGGCCTCGATCTCCGCTTGTAATAAATGGAGATTGCGTTGATCCCTAGCGAAGACAACTTTTAGCGCAAATGCCTCATCTGAGGCCAAGTCTATACAGCGGTAGACATCGGCGCTGGCACCGTTCCCGCAGTAGGCCTCCACACGCAAGGCTCGGCGGTGTCGAAATGTGACCGTAGAGCCGATACCGATGCGGCGTCCTACTACACCCTGCTCTACTGGTAGAGGTTCTTCCCCTTTAATATCCGGCACCGCAGCCTCTTCTTCTCTGACGGGAACAGCTTGCTCTTCTTCTTTCTGTATCTTCATCTCCGTGTGTTTTTCATTCTGCTCATGATGCTCCACTTTTTCCGGTACAGCTACTGGTGCATCAGGAGGTCTTTCAAGAAAGCCTGGATCAAAAATATTCGAGGATGGAAGATGCACACCTTGTAGCACTGCTTCAGCTTCAACTTTGCCAGCTTTCTCCGTCATCTGGGTCGGAGGGGGAGCTGTAGGTGCTCCTGGACCTTGGCTAGTACTCGGACTACCACTAGTTTTAACGCTAGACACGAGTCACTATCAAAATTGGTGGTGATGATGATGATGATGATGATGATGGAGTTAACAACTCAAGAACTGCTTTCTTTAGGTTTCCCGTGAAGATTTTTGCCTATCTAAATGATCAGGAGTAATTCGTCCTTCTGGTTTCTCCTCTGAATGAGTCAAGGAGGAACGCCTTCACTGAGGATAATACCTCGTCACACCAGATAGTGAGTGTCATCTAGGTCTAGCCTTAATCGTTGACTTTGTCTCTTGTGTAGCCTGATCCGCATTCTGATCGTGACTTCCTTGCTGCACCACATCAGGTGCAGGCACAGAAGTGGTTGCTTTTGTCAACGTAATGTCGGGAGCCGCTGCCATTGTGCCGGTGGGTTCGTCACTTGTTCAGCGAAAATCAAAGCTCTGCTATTCTTGAGTTTGATCAAAGAAATTCACAAATGTAGTCCTCACATCAAATACTTGTGGATAAGTACATGAATTTTTCTCGTGCTCAAAGTGGGTAAAATAGTTGTTGAACGATGGGGGTTATTGATATTTGTTTATCATCATATTGCATTTTTACAACGTCGAGCAACAAGAAACAAGAAGGGACTACACACAGTAACAGGGTCGGTATACATAGGGGAAGGGTAAAAAGAAGGTTGATTGAATCAAGAGAAATACCTATGTCATACTAGTATGATTTTTCATGATAAAAAAACATTACTCACGCTGATTATACACCGAGCCATTGTAGTATTCTTTGAAATCGAGTTTGCTCCAATCTATGTATAATCATTAATCTTTGAATTATCGAAAAACCAAATAAGCTAATACTAGACACAGCTGACACACCACTTCTATCGTCTAAGTACTACTACTACACTTAATCTACCAACTCCAACAAGGCTGAATTACTACGTCATGGCATGTCATGTTACCTCATGCCCCATCCTATCAAATGGTATCGAGGTCTTCTCAGCCAACTTCTACCTTTTCTAGAAGAGAGCAAGAAAAGGACCGCCTGATCGACTACCAAGCCACAAACACACAGGCTTACATACAACCAACAAGGCAAGAACAGAGAAGGGGAGCGAAAGGGAAATGGAGGCGAGGAATCCTACACAGAGATTGAACAGGACATTTGATTGAGCACGAAGAAAAAAAGTGCTCGCTCGCCAGTTCATGAAATAAAACGTGTCATATTTATAAAAAAACCATGCATTATTCTCCACTGACTGTATCAATCATGATGTGGTACTAAAGGTCAAAAAATTAAATCTACTAGATACTTTTACTTCTAACGTTGCGATTGAAACCGATTGACATTGACTTAATGCGACACAACTGTAGCGCACTCACCCGTGAATATTCTTGAGATGAAAAAGCAGAAGCACAAGACGACCGGTTAAGCAAGAATGGGGTTTCTTGCTTTATCACCTGGTAGTTTTTGTCGGCATGGGCATGCTAGGAAGATTGATAAGGATATTCCTATTTCTGATTAATAGCATGTGCATGCTTACAAGCACATCACGACTTTCGTCCTATAAATCGAAATTTTAGTCCCACCGCTCAACAGTTACAGCTTCTTTGCAGGATCGAGGGCATCTTCTTCTTCTCAAACACTACTCTACTTTTTCTTTCATCACCTTGTTTCTATTTTCATTCTCAGTTGTACTAGAAGATATTGATATTACATACTGACATTTAGCAGATATGCCAGAATCAAGAATCAGGAGGCGGCCTCGCTCATATCAGAATGCCAGACAGAATGCCACACCAGAATAACAGTGAATGCTGGAGCGTGCCAATGGATTCAGAATGCCATTGAATGCAAGAATGCGCCAGTGAGTGCAGAGTGCAGAAGACACATGATAGATTGATGATAGATCAAGCAGAGCGGCGCGAAAGACAGATGATAGATTTAGGACAGTGAAACACCGAAAAACCAGTGAACGATTTGGATTCCGTTCGATTCCTATTCGATTCACCACCGACTATGAATCAAGAGTAGCTTGTACCAAAAATGATACTATTAAGTGCAATAGATTGAAGGAGAAGCCAAGAAGGGAAAGATAAGGTTAGGCTGGGGATCCTTCAATACTGAGGCGGGTGTTGACTACTTGCCGAGTAAAGTAATCGGATAATTTTCAATGAACACATCCCAGAGAGTCGAATTTGCACATAAAATCTTGATCGTCTTCGCTCTCGAGTTCAGAGAACTTTCAATGACGTCGTAGTTCTCGAGTTTAGTAGTTGTCATATATGTCCACCACGATCATCAAGAATCATTTAAGTACACCTATAATTTGCTTTTTGTGTGGAATTATTCAATATTCTGTAGAAGTTGAAAGTGCTCTCGGATAAATCCGAATTTTGATTTTCTATTTCAAGAACTTGAGTTCATGGACGTGGTTGAAATTTCGAGGTGAATTCGTCCTGGACCTACCCTTTCTAAGAAACCTGTAGGACGATTCCTAGTCCTCATCCTCGTCTTCCACCCTAAATTGTCCTCCTCCAGATCCATTATCCAAAGTTTCTCCACCATTCTCTACTTCGCTTTTACTCTTATCTTCGCCTAAAATCGTGGCATTCAGACCCGGATTGACTTCTCTGAATTCTTGCGGAAAGAAATCTGCGGTTCCTCTTCGATGTCGACCTTCCCACAAGGCAGCGGACTGCGCCACGCCAGTCCGCTCCAAAGGTGGCGCATTCTCCGGTGTTTGCGCACGCGGAAAGTTGAAGAAGGCATTCTCTTGCTCAGCTAAGCTACGTTTGGGAAGAAATTTCGTTCCTAAACTGCCTGTAGTTTTGGAGGAAGAGTTGGAGGAGGACTGATGTTGTTCTAGTTGTACTTCTCCTTCTGGAGGAGCTCCTTGAGCAGCGGTATTAACTGTATAATGTTGTTGTACTACATGATCTGGATTGATACCAATCGAAGTACTCTCCCTGTTTTTGTTCGGGTCCTCAACAACATGACTTTCGGGTCCTCCTCCTGTTCTTGTAGCTCTTTTAGAAGGAGAAGAAGTTCTGTCTTCTTGAGCAGTACTCTTTGTATTGATTGTTCTAATTTTCGATGTTAGACCTGGTTCTTCTACCAACTGTCCAGGTTCTGGTGGAAAGACTATTCCGCGATGTGGTTCTGGCATAGCGCCTGGCTCAGGAGGGATCTCGTCGAGTCGACGACTCCCAAGATTAGACGAGCGCATCCGAAGTGTTTTTGTTCGGATGCATGCTGGGAAAGCTCTAGTAGAATAGAATTATTCCTCCAAAAAAACGGGAATGGGAGATGATTTGCGAAAGCCTTAACAATAGGCGTTCTATTCGCTTGTTGAAGCAAACGCTCAACTCGAGTTTCCATTTCCCACAACTCATTGTTCAATTTGCCACCGCGTACTGAAGTAGGCGTCGGTGGTGTACTTCTCATCGCAGCTGATGCATTCTTGACAGGTGTGTTTCTTCCTGAGATTCTTGCATGCATTTTTAGAGCTAATATCATTAAATGATTGCTGCATTCGCATAGGCATCCTCGTCCTCAGCCGGAGTAATATCCTTGGAGGGTTTCATCTCTTCCCTGTAGAAAAAGCCTCTTTTTCCAGTAGAAAAAGTAAACCAAGGATGCTGCTGAGGATGCAGACGCTTTCGCTGGATGGCTCCTTAAATGTACAACCGCTGTATTGACAACCGCTGTATTGACCACTGCGGCATTCATCTCCGCTTGTGCAGCTGCAATTTCTCTTGATTCATCCGTGTCCTCGGGAATCTGGATTTTCATCCTAGTATTTTTTGACTTTGACGAAGTTCTCGTTGTCGTATTTTCACCCACATCATAGGTCGAATGTCCTTGCTGTTGTAGATGGTCTAGATGATGTCTCTCAAAGGCGACTTCAGCCTCACGCGTATCGTTTTCAGCCAGGCCTCGGAGATAGGCGTCAGCCATGGGCGAAAGGCGTCTATTTCTTCCGCCTGCCAAAGCTTCTGGTGCAAACATAGGGTCGACTGCGACAGAACTGCCCTTTAATCGCTGAGTGAGCTTTTCGATCACAGACAGGTTATCAGCGCTATGTCGCAAGTGCTGCTGAAAATTGTATCGTTGAGGGTGATGGCCAGAAGCTGCATATTGACCGCTTGCGTCTTCGTGGCCAACGGTCGCTGGTATGAAAAGGAGATGGGAAGAAGAGCGGGGTTAAAGTTAACTACTATAATAAATTAAATCATTCCATTCTTTTGCCCAGAAAGCTACCCGCCACCTTGTCTGTCATAACTATCGAACCTCCACGATTCATCCACCGTTTCGCTGCTCGTAGAAGCCGCAGGCATCGCGTTCGATTTACCACTGCGCAGAAGAGTCCTAGAAAGCCCGTAAACAGCGTCACAAGAACTATCATCACCACCATCCCAGCTGCACTTGAGAAGAAGCTGTCATTAGAACCGCCAGCATCCGTGCCACCTCCCCCGTTGAGGTGTACGTTGCCGTCAATCAACACGCCCCCTTCGAGAAAAGATCCATCGGCGCTTGGCGTTAGCATGGAGACAGAACCGGTGAGAGGACCAACCAGAGTTTCTGCTATGGCGAAAGATGTAGTATTACCTCCACTACTCCCCACAGCAGGAAGAGATGAAACCCCGGTAATTGTCCTAGCAACTTGTGCAAACAAGTTATCTGTTCGTCCTGGGAGTGCCAAGGCTGAAATCTCACTTCTCAGCTGGTTCAGGAACGCGTCTGGTGCTTGCGTAATCTGTGTTAAGTCGTTGCGCGCACGAAAGAGCTCACTCGCTGACTCAAAATTACGCATCTCAACTTCCACTAGCAAGGAATCAGAAGCACTCCTGGTGGAAGTAGATGGAGACACTGAGAGGTGACGGTGATGAGGATGACCACTTGATCGTGTTGGTGATGCAGTGGTACTTCTTCGATCCGGCTTCTGCGCTGTCGTACTAGAAGAAGTACTCCTGCTTCTCGCTTCATCTTTTTCTTCGAGAGAAGCATGATATGATCTTTGATGTAGTTTCCGATCTTCTACAGCCTGGCTCATCCGATTGAAAATCTCTTCTCTAGTCCCACTATATTGTTGAAGCTCCACTCTGGTGTCTTGATAGCGCGGCAATGCTTGATTCAAGATCGCCTCCAGTCTGGCATTCGCAGTCGTGTAATCGGAAGAAGTTGTTCTTCTCAACCTCAACAACCTAGAAGAAGCGGTCGTCCCTATCTCCGCACCCCTTTCGTTCAACAACCGTAATGAGCGAATCTTGACACTTCCCGCTCTTGTTTCTCTAACATGCGCTAAAATTGACGTCTGAAGTGCATGCAGAAAGAGGACGTCTGATTCAAGGGCAGCGCGTGAAAAACCGAGACTCAGATCCACACGAAAAGGCAGGCGGACGCCGGTTGTTATCTGGTATCCGTCTTAGACAGAGGAAAGACCGAGATTGTTAACTATTTGGGAATGCGATTATAGAAGGAATAGGAAAAGAAGGAAAATAACAAATAATTGGCGCTGTCCGTAATTCATCTTTCAAGTGCATCCTTGAAAAGTATGGGGGAGCATTCCCTCAGGATACTCCTCGTCCATACATTTCGTCAAGGATGTAGGATGCGTCCAAAGATGTATTAGGTACAGCCTCAATTGCGGTTGTTCGAGATTGATCATTGGGACCTTCGAGTTGTCGATGGTATCATGTTGATCATTGGGACCTGCTGTCTCGAGTACATGTACTAGTTTCATCTTGGATGATGAAACGCGACAAATTCTTGTTTTCATAATTGTCCGGATGTGCGCGACGGATGCATAGCGGCTGCTGGCTGGGACAAGAAACCCACTCATTCTGGAATAACTGCAGAAGGTTTCATTATAGCCATTCAACTTATTCAACTTCAAGTTTATATACTACAAATAAAGGTGCTGTCATATATTCTAACCTTTCACCTTGTGTCACCAGTATCATGGTCATCAAAATATTTTTGGCTTTCAACAAGTAGAGTCATTGTAGTGGGATGTCCTTTTTCACCCTCTGCTTCTGCTTGTGTGAGGATCGCTATCCTAGTAGTATCGATGTCTATCAAGTTAAGACATCAAAATAAAAACCAACAGTCACAGTCTAAATCTCTGTCAACATAATACGATGTTTTACAACCGCAGGAGGCGATATCGTACACTGGCCCACCCAAACCAGTTGAGAGATACTCCAAACACTTCTCCCGACTCTGAAAGACAGCTGACGGTGAGCAAGCCCCTTGTTGGCTCCCAACTATCCTCAGATTACCTGCTCCCATTTTTAGAGGTGTCTCCAACGTACTAATAAATGCGGAGCCTTGAAGATGGGTATCAACATCCCTCACAAACAGGCAGTTGAGAGATCCCATGGAGCGAGATGGAGATGGGTTAGCGTTAGCGTTAGCCTTAACATTTGTGTTTCCATGACCGCCATATCGATCGCTGATATCTCGTCAACCGATCCATTCGCATCCAGACACACCTTCAATGTTGGACAGCAAAAGCGGCTCTGACATTGGAGTCCTGTGTTACAGCGCGACAGTCTAGGTAGCTGGATCACTGAAGATGAAGCCGTTGCTCCGCAGGAGAAAAAACTGGTAGTCCAAGAAGTAGAAGAAGTAGTTGAAACAGTAGGAGTAGCTGCGGACGCAGATGAGCTAGAAGAGGAAGATGCCGTGTTGATCCCTCCACAGGATTCAAAGCACTTATCCGACAAGCAGTAGTCTCGATTCTGACAACTTTGGGCACAATGGCAGAGGAGTTGCTCCTGCCCAAAAGCGCTGTGGCCATAGATTGCTGCAGCGTTTGTGCATATTAGAGCTGTCCGTAATTCATCTTTCAAGTGCATCCTTGAAAAGTACTATGGGAGAGTATTATTCCCTTAGGTGGATACTCCTCCATACGTAGTTCCAAGGATCATACGTCCAAAGATGTCTATTAGGCACACAGCCTTAAGCATAGCTTCCCCGTCCACCAGGAACAGGGCCGACCGTCGTCGTCCCGAAAGTTCGGGTCGTCGACGCATAAAACGGCGTCACGAGATTGACGGTCGTAACCGGCTGTCATGATGGTCTGAGTGAAATTTTCCTCATCAACACGTAATTTGTACGTTCTTGTTTGGACATAGAGCACGTAATTTGTTGGACAGCAAAAGTTCCATTACGTGCTCTATGTTGATACAATCCAATTAATCTCGCACAAAGTTCAGTGCAGACTGCCTTAAGGGCGTCATAATTCTTCCGCTCTACCACCTGACACACTGAATCATGGTGACTCGTCGACCATGCGTCTGCTCTCGCACAGCACCCCGTCTTCAGTTCTCGGGGCGGGCCTTGTGCTTGTCTCGACATGGTCCTCATGTTTCATCTTTTTTACAACCAGGTCAATTCACATTCTCATCATGGAATATCATCATATTTTGATTGTCACATTCACCACAGTTCAGACTCAACAGCGAGCCAGATGAATCACGAAATAATTGCACACTAAAAATAAGTGGTCTCCCAAATATTGTAGTAAGCATACTAATAGTACTAACTTGTCTGAGTATTACTGCTCCCGGAGAGCATGATAATCAAAAAAGTTTCAAGATAGCGGATTTCCACTATAGCAAAATATTCCGATGACTAAGGTACTAAAAATTACTAACCAATTTACAGACTACATGATTTCTTCGAATGCAAAAAAAAAAGTTGAGTAGTTAAGTATGCATGATAGACAATGAGGGCTAGATACTCACACAATCTGAAACAATATAACAAGCTTAAACTTTTTCAAACATCAAGCTCTAACTAAACTTTTTGTTCCAACTACAGTAGCTGTGAATACATCAAATAAAATCCCTTCATCCACTCCCTTGTTTCAACAGTAAATCCAGCTCCTCCTCTGCCTCACCTGGTAATTCGGTGTCTTCAGGCACTGTCGCTAACAGACAATCCATGGCTTGACCGCACAAGGCAGAGTACATTTCAGCTAATTCCCGATTCCTTTCGTGCCATTCAGATGAAGTCACCAAGTCTTCTATTGTTTGTCCTTCCCGTCGGCACAAACGGCACCCAGACCGAAGCTGCTCCATTCTGTTGAATTTAATGGTGTTTGTTTGTTTGTAGTCTAATCCAAATACAAATTTCTCAATGAAGCTACTAAAAAAGAGTGGCGAAGTTTCTGATAGCAGGACCGCGCAATACCTATCTGGAATAAGGAGGACATTCCGAGTGGAATTGAAAGCTCCTGCTGAATGCCCAAGAAGAAACTTAATATTAGAAATAAAGAGGAGATCATCTCTATAAATACAGCAACAACAATGCAAAAAATACAGGTCCCTCCGATTTACTTCTGGTCTTTCAAGCATCTTTAATTCCGCATCACCACGAGATAGTGGTAAAGGTCCATTCTTGGTCATTTTGTGTAGTCGTACTTCACCAGGTTGAGCATCTTCTGGGACTTCAGTTATGTACGACGTTCGGTGCTTGTATTTGAACTGAATACACTGTCCTGGTTCCAGTGGTTGCTCTGGGATTGTATACTGGACCAAGTGCGGGGACCGGAAATACGCTTCAGCCACCTGCATCTTCCACAACAACGTTTCACATGGGGCAAGTGAGGCACTACCAGGGTCTAATTGCTCTACTTCTACATCTACGCTACTTCTAGACTTATGCTCCTGCTCATCTGGTAGTGCTCCAGGGTCCTCTGCTTGGTTTACTTCAGGGTTGCTGTCGTCTTGTTTCGGACATGCTGAAGAAGACGATGATTTTGGCGAGGCTTGTTGACGATGATCCTGCTGTGCAAGACCAGGATCCTCTTCATGGTGTTCAGATGAAGACAAAGCAGAAGGTAGAGGACCACAACATGGACTCGTAGTTTTTTTCTCCGCCCCTTCTAAGCGTAATAAACCGAGTTGTACTTCTAGATCTATATCTTGCTTCTTCGTTTCATCTTCCCGTCTCCGCATACTGTCCAGAAGAAGTAGCCCTCCGCTCCGTTCCTCTATGACCTGCCATACGGCACGCAGAGGTTGCCTCTCGTGACTTTGGGAATCCACATTGAACAAAGCAAAAACTAAGCGATTAGAAGATGTTTTTCTAGGCAGGTTATGATATTATTGCTGATGCCACATTATTATAAATATATGGGTATCGCTTAAGCGGTCTGACTGTATGGGGCTGTCACCTCCTTCTAGTAGTGTCCCGTAAAGTTTTTCAACTCCGTAGGCGTCAAATCATCTTCTCCGACTGCTGAAACTTTTGGCCTTTCAGTAGAAGGTTCTCTTACTACTTTTACCTCTCCTACGTCAGGCTCTCCTACATATGCGTGGTCACCACGATCAGCAAGACGAGGACTACAACTAGTCTGCTCTTTCTCCTTGTTCGCCTCCTCTTGTTGGGACGCTATAATCTTTCGTAGTTTTCTTCTAGAAGGTGTTGGCAGCACACCAATACTACTTTTAGTCTTCGTAGTCTTTGTACTTTTAGCGGCGAGAAGTGTTGATGTGAACTTTGATGAAGATGATTTTCTTTGCTCCTGGGGTTCAGCTTCTACATGTTGACCTTCTTCTACCTGTTGATGACCACTGTCCATCGCGTCTCCATCCGACGTGAAACGTTCTGGCGATAAAATCGAGTTCAAAGTACTACACGCAAGGCCCAAATTAGGCAGCCGTCTTCGCCGTGATGCTCTAGTTTCTGCAGCACAACTGGAAGATGACGAAGCTTTTGTATTTGTAGTTGACTTTGAATTATCTCTATCTTTATTTTTCAGAGATGATTTCCTACGCGTCGACGATTTTCTGTGTTGCTGTTGTGCTACTGCAGGAAAAACTTTCTCCGATCCAGGATGGTTGGAAGCTTCTAGCTGCAACTGGGAGTGATGTACTTCTTGTTCCTCAGCTTTGCAGCTAACACCACTACAATCCGCATCCTCCAAAACCAAGTCTTGTGATAGCATACGCGTTTCCAAGGACATGATCAGTTCTTCTTTTACTACATTTCCATGACCTACTACATGTACATCATCTCCATGACTAGTTCTACTAGTATGACCTACTACATCTCCATGACTAGTTCTACTAGTACCTTGGTGGCGCATATCTTCTACCAAAACTTCTACGGTCTCTTCCTCTTCCAAAGGCCACAAGTCCACCTTTGTTTGCAAGAGTTGGAGTGCATTTGCTGTCGTTGCTCCCCTTCCCTCATGCGTAATATTGTCTGCGTAGTTGATAGCGCCTTGAAGGTCAAAAATACTCGATGAAGTTGTAGTATCTTCCCCAGGAGGAGGTGAAGCCACTCTCTCCCACAATTGCACACGTTCTGCTACGGAAGCGGTTAGCAAGTCTACATCAGACAATCTCCGTCTCTCCATTTCCGGTGAGGAGTTTACACGCCTGGGCCGTGATAAAAAAGGCCCACCGGGTGAGGCGGAGGTTGAAGAGCTTGACTTTGCTCCAGCTGCTGGGTGAAGAGACCACGCAGTAGTAGATGAAGATGATGTACAACCTGAAGTTCTTGAAGCAGAGGAAGGTGCAGAAGGATCATCATTTCCATTTCTTGATGGTGGGGAAGCAGAGGATGCTAGAAAAGTGGATGGTGGCGGTGGCGAAGCCGTGGTCTCCGCTGGAGAAGAGGATCCTGTTCCTGTCGGTGGAGAAGAAGATGTAAATGTAGCACTAGGCTTTGCTTCTACTTTACCAGCAAAAGTAGTTGATGTTGCTTCCTTAGCACTTTCGTCTTCAGCATCGTCCAACATTTCAACACGCGCTGGCGGCTTGAAGAGCAGCGTCCGTTTTCCAAAAACCTCTGATGCTTCTAGACTCGCAACGGACACATCGACGATTGAAGAGCTCGCGTCGATATCTCCTCCTACTTGCGGTACGTAAGAGCTGCTTGGAGGACAGTGGCGTTTTTTTGGTGGAGGTGGCGCTAAATCTAGAGGAGACTTTCTCACGTGGTCTTCATGCAATTGATGTAGCTGCTTACCCAAGTCTGGCGTCGCAATACCACGTCGTGTTGCCTGTGCTCCTACTCTAGTATGATTTTGCTCCTCCAGCGTGATTCCACGACCGCTTTGAAGGCGTGTATCATCATGACTAGCACTTCTAATTTGCTGTTGACTTGAAGTTGTACCAGTTGCATCGACGTTGGACGAGGTGCTGCTATTCATCCGAGCAGTATTGTTCATACTGAGAAACATCATTGCCGACCCACTGGTGAACTGAAGAGGACCATTGCAGGAGGGCGTGGCACCTGCAGCAGCAGCTCCCACACTGGACGTCGACTTACTAGCAAAAACAGGAGGCTGACGACCTGCAAATCTTGGGGATGATCTAGGTGCGACGGCGTGGGGGGACCTCAAAGAGGCGCACGTTTGCACGCGACCACGAGGAAGGGCCGTACTGGAAGACGATGATGAAGGTAAAGCAGTTGATCCTCGTCCGCTACAACCATCGCTACGCTTCAACATCTTGCTTCGTTTTGTGTTTCTCATAACCGAGCTTTCCTCCATCGAAGGTAAACATAGCTCATTAGGAGTGGCCGAGAAAGAGGATGCGATTGTAGTACTCTTGGTGTTCTTGTTTTCCTTTTCGTTTTGCACTTCTGCTTCTTCTTCACCATCATGATCATCTAAAGCACCAGCAGTAATATTCCCAGCATCTTCAGTGGGCCTCGGAGATGGTTCTGGAACCTGCTGTGGTCGTGGCGGCTCACGCTGCACCAAGTCGTGGTGGGGGTTCTGACCGATTCGTTCCTGTTGGAAAATGGAAATACCTCTACAATTTCGAATCTCACGAATTGGAAGATCAGACGAAGGGCTCCTACGCTGTTGTTGCTGGTGTTGAGCTTGCGGAGGGAAATGATTTAGAGGTGGTTGCTGACTCGAAATCGACGACGTCGACCCTCCTGGTAAGAGTGGTGAATTTCCTTTTCCACAAGTACTAGAGGAAGGCATAGCCATAGTCCGTGATGGAAAATACGGCGTAGCAGGTGTTGTTCGAACTGTACTCAAGGACTGTCTCAGCATTTCAGCGGCAGAGGGCAAACCGGGAGACCGGATCCGTCTCATAGCACTAAAATCAAGTTGTCCACTACGATGCAATACGTGTCCTCTAGTGACGCCTGTGGCCACTGCTGCGGCAGAAGTCGTAGAATGTGAAGGGCCTGATGTTGTGCTTGTGGCAGCATTTGTACTGGTGGAAGGATCAACGGGCGAGGAGGAACTTGGTGCGGTAGTGGCAGCAGCATTAGCGAAGATAGCAGAAGAGGAGGACGAAGTTCGCTAACTATGTTGTACAAATTATGAAGTTACTGAATCTAAATGATCAGTATAAGTCTTTTTTTGACGAGTAAGTTTGAGAAACAATTTCGACAGGGTTCATAAATGAAATCCGATGAAGTCAACAAAAATCTCCTTACAAAATCCTCGTACATTTGATCTATTGTTTTTCTTAGTACTTTTTCTACCTATAAAAAGTGCCTTAACGCCTCTAGGTGCATATACCCTGGTTGTACTAACGTTGCCAACAGTGAATGGCATATGTGCTACGGACGGCGCTTGCCCTTTTCTCTGAAGATCATATTGGTGAGCTGAAGTAGCCGTCGACGTAGGCTTAGCTGTAGAAGTAGGCTCTCGCTCTCGTGCCTTGTCTTTTGACGGTGGTTCGTAGATTTTTCCGGTTGAAGATGAGCGTCTGGATGAGACTCTGCGCACAGAAGTGGAATCGTTTCTACTGTTGGAAAGACGCCTTGTTGATGAGGAAGCAGCTGATACAGAAGAGGGGCCAGAGGATGCTCCCTGTCCTCCCGTTTTGCCATGTTGCGTGGTGGATACGGTAGACGAGGCATTTGTTGGCATAGATGTTGAGCTAGTCCTTAGTACATCATTGGTCTTTACACCTGCTTGACCCGCCCTTACACCTGCTCGACCACCTTGTATTCCTTGTTGTTTTGAATTTGACCAGCTACCCGAGCCTTGTCGTTCTACTAGAACTTGATGTTCTATGACCAGACTGCTATTTTTTTTCGGCGTTGGTGTCTTGCTGCCACCACGAAAGGGACTAGGCCGGGAGGAGCTAGGTCGTGGAGGTCTCGTTGAGGAGGAGAGTAAACTGGAACGCCGACCACGATGGGTATCATGGTCGGCTGGTGCAGCGTCGAGGTAATGTTGTGAAGCGGAAGTTGTCGAAGAAGAAGATGCTGTACTAGAGGTGGCAAAAGGCAAGGAAGGCAAGGGCTCCTTGAGACGAGTATGTGCATGTTGAGTTTGAGTAGTGTTTTTTGAAGTAGATGGCGGAGTCCTACTGAATGCAGTACTAGAAGTGCCTAAATTGTCTTGTTGTAGAATTTTCTGCAATTGAGAGGATCTACGGGCTGGAGGTGAGGAAGCTCAAGTTAAAGGTAGTTTTTCACTATCCATGGTTAACGTTAAGTAACCACGACTTGCCTTCTTTCCCCTTAGAAGGTTTCCCTTGACTTCTAAGGGGAATCCACTGAGGAGCACAGTCCACATGGGATAGGGATAAACTCGCCTTAATGAAGGTACCACGAGAGGAGACTCTTGGTTAGTTGTGGCATTTGGCGTTGAAATGAGCGTAGTTCGACCCTGTAAGGGAGTAGCCGTGGCCCGTTGATGGCCTCCTGGAGCCAGACCGGGACTCGATGAAGTAGGAGTAGCAGAGCCCGCGCCGGTGATTATAATTGGGGAACTTATCATATTCAGTTGTTTGTTGGAAGTCGAAGTGTGAGTGACGTCACGAGCACCAGTTCCAGTATGGATATTACCTCTTCTAGAACAGACTTCTAGGACAGGAGACGTTCTTGTCGTAGTAGAGGACACTCCTGAAGATGCTCCCGAAGGCGGACGTTTGCTCGTGTAGTCCCAACTACTAGCTTGACCAGAAGCACCACCAGAAGCACCACCACCGCCACCAGCAGATGAAGCCGAAGGGGTTTCCCTCAGGAGTAGACTACCTCCAGGTGTTTTCCGTCCAATAGCACTGTTGTTGTTGTGCCAAGCTACTCCAGCTATGCCGTTTGTATTGAGCAAGCCTCTCGTTGACGCGGCTACTGGCGCACAACTACTGTTCGTGGTATCTACAACCATGTATTGTTGTGCACTAGAAGTAGAAGATACAGCTCCACCAGCACCAGCGGCAATGCTCTGCGATGCAGCTGCAGGTGATGTGGCTGGCATCCGCAACCCTACGCTGGGCATCCTCAGCCTTACCCTTACATGCTGATCTACTGAAGCGCCGCCATGGTCAAAAGAGCAGGCACGAGACGAAGCAGTTGTCTTTGCTGGTAGGATGTTGTGCAACATCAGGGAATTCGTTCGTGGCGCAGGCTGAAAAGAGGTCATACGCCGTGGAATGAAGTGACTGTTGCCAGTGGTGCTAGATGAGGAGCCGCCATCTCCAGGTCCTGGCGCACTAGAAGGCGCACTGCTAGAGTAAAACATCTTGTGGACCTTCGTTGGTGTTGCGATTGCGAAGTAGAACTTCAACTTTTTGATGGCAAAGTGGAAAACCGCTTTCGAGATGTTGGACACAAATCTTCATTCAGCAGTCCGAGGTGTAGCGGCTTCTAAGATCGAGTGTTAATTGGAATCGCGGCGGTGCCTCTATTTCTCTCAAATCCATGTAATTTCTCACTCAATATTTTTTCTCTCGTCAATAGTACTATAACTCGTCCGTTTTTCGCTTTCGCTCCTTTTTGGCTAAGAAGTTCAATTTTCTTTGAAGGAATACCTTAAAGCTGAAGGGAGGCTTTCTTTGTTACGCATTTCTAGCGCTCGTCGCACCCTCGTCCGATTTCTTTACCGATTGATTTGTTGGCTGAGTAGGGAATCGGTATCGGAAGCACAAGTAGAAGTAGTTGTGCTCTTAATAAAGTTGTATTTCAAAGTTCGATTTCAGGCAAAGGTATTGTTGCGAATGGTGTGCGTCCAGAAACGAAAATGAGAAATGAACTGGAATTCTTGCTTGGACAGAAATATAAATAAAGGTACTCGTCAGCGTCACATAGTATACACTACTTGTTACAACTAGTATCTATCAAGATAAGCGTAATTGTTGCAACTAGAAGAAGTAACGGTCGTAAGCGTAAATGAACAACCCCTCGTCCCGTAAAATTTTGATAAATGTAGTTAAGTAGACTTCTAAATAAGCAGCACGACCTAGACTTCTAGATAAACAGAAAAATTACCCCCAATATACTTTACAAAGCGTTCAATATCTAAGGCGCCCACCTCCACCTCCACCTCCAATCAATCTAAGAACACTTCTCCCCACCTCCTACAATAGGAAACTTTTCTTCGACGAAGCACATGTCCTCGATGGTTCGCAGCGTTACAGCAGGCGCACTCTGCACGCGTCTTGACCGGATGATGTAGTCGGACAAGCGCCTCTTGAAGTTCTCGAATTCCAGTTGTACGTGATCAAGCTGAGCTTGTTTGGCTTGCAGCTGCGTGGGGAATTAGAGAGGTTGATGCTGGTTGAGAGGACAAGAATTTTCGTAGTAGAAGAGGGAGTCCGAACTTCAGACTATACGCCACCACCTTGTTGTGGATGCGAGCAGCTTGATATCAGTAATAAATTCACTCCGCTTGTTGCTCCACACCAGAAAACAACAAGTAAGTAAGTAAATACCTGAAAACACTCTGTTACTCGACACTAAGTAATAATACCTGAAAGCACTTCTGTTGAAAAACAGTTACTCGACACAGAAGTGTTTTCATCAGGTATTTAACAGTTACTTCCAAGTAAAGTAGAGTGTTGAAACACTCTGTTACAGTAAGTAACAAGTAAATACAACCTGAAATACTCTGTATTACAGTCAGTAAACTCTTGTTGCTCAACACCAGAAATCCTCCATTTGGAAAAAGGAATAGAAGCTCTTGTCATAAGAATAAGTGCTATCCTTGCTTTGATAAAGGCCCTCCATTTCTCGGAAGTCTTCTTGTCGAACCAAAGCCTCTTTGTTTAGCCGTGTCTTCTCCTTTTCGAGTAGACGGACCTAGTGAGTGGTTCAGTGGACCTTCTGAGTGGTTCGGAGGGTATCGAAAGCCGTTTTAGTTTGATCAAGCAAGAGGTCTCATGTTCCAACAACACCTTCACACATACAGACTGCAGTACCTTCTCGACGAGATTTCGCGATGCTCGGTCTGCGGTGTGGAGCTTGTCCTCTGCTTTCTCCAATTCCCCCTTGAGCTTTTGCCGTTCTGTTGTATAAAGTTTGCATTTGCAAGTCTACTTGTTGAAAAGTGATTGGAAGTGGTCGTGTTCGACGTCTCCGTTCGCTAGGACTAAAATCAGAACAAGACGTCGACCAATGCAACAGTCGAAATCGGAAAAAAAATCCAATATTGTCGGATACAAAACCATTTACACCAAACAGCTAGAAAGTGTACCTGCTTCCGCAGTTTGATACAACTCTTCGAGTCCGAGCTTGTCTTTTTGCAACTCTGCCACCCGCTCTGTCGCGTCGTTATTTCTCTCTACATTGCGCATCTCCTCAGCGAATTTCAGGTTCTGCAACTCAAGATGGCCTGCTTGAAATTGAAAGCGCAGAGAATAGTCACAGTGTGTATGCAAGAAGAGGATAATAGGTCTATTTTCAAGCAACTAAAGAAGAAACAAACCGAAATCTTTTCACGACTAGTACTTCTACTTGAGCTGCATAGCAAATACAAATAGTACGTGAGTCTTCCTCCATCTTCTCAAGCCTCCTCTTCGTTTCCGCTTGTAAAGCTTGAACGCCAGCTAACTCCCGTTCTCGAATCTGTAAAGCATGCTCGCTTTGCTCGGCTTTTTGCCGGAAAAAAACCGCGTCCCCACTGGCTTTCGTCCAGTGCTCGTGTGATTCGTGCTAGATTTAGAATCCTAGTCGAGAACAAGAACAAGTGCGTCGAAGATGGGAAATTTTTTAGGTACAACAACTCCTACATACAACCTTTTCGCCTACTAGCCGTAGTCAATAAGTAGATAAGAAGTTGCTACGCCATAATTGTCCCTCAGAATGTACGCAATCTGCCTTGACAATTCCTCATTTACGAATCGTAAATCCACGACTTCTTGCAGCAACTCGTTTTTATCCCGTATATAGGCCTTTAACGACTTCTGACCCTCTGCTGTGGCGCTGGTTGGCTTAGGCACGCGAATCGTGCGAACCCCATGCGGATGTAATCCGCCTGAGGCTGCACCAGGCGAAGACGAAGAATTAGCGCAAGCTCTCACCCTAAAACTAATGCTAATTATCTCCGCTGATCATACCAATCTTTTGTGTCTCTTGAGAAGCTTCTCGTCTCCTAGGATGTCTTTCCTAGAAAGTCTCTCCTAGGAAGTCTCTCCTAGGAAGTCTCTCCTAGGAAGTCTCTCCTAGGGTGTCTTTCCTAGGATGTCTTGTTTCCTAGGATTACTCATCTGAAGATGCATCAGAATAGAGGACGTCTCTCAATCAAAGAAAATGGGAGGATCTTCAGCTTTGGGGAACGAATCCGTAAAAGAAAACGGCGGATTATGTTGGGTCAAGGGCGTCACATAGGGATGTTCCGGCGACAAAGCGGTGGTCGTGTAGTGAGGTCCAGACCCGAATCCGCCTGCCTTCACTCTACTAGGATGGTCTGGAGGTAAGTAGCCTGAATAGTGAGAAACGTACCTTTAGCGCTCAAAGTAATTCACCTTCTATATTCACAGAATTGAGAGTGAAAAACACATGGAGAAGATTAGCCGCTGTGAAGATGAATTATCGTGAGCCTTAATACCTGCTCAGCATGGCATTGGCGTTCGCAGAAGGTGGAGGTTCGTGTAAGTAGTTGGCAGATGGGTAACGCCCAAATTGCTGAGGCCCACTGTCAGATCCACGCGCCGTGCTGCCTGGAGGACTAGGGTAATTTGGAGCCACTCGGTGTCACCATCGTTTCCTGATAATTGAGTGATCCTTTAGTTGTCCTTCCCTTGGTTTCTTCTTGAATTCAAAAGGATGGAGCCACTCGAGATCCAACTAGGTCACACCAGATATACATAGAAATGGTGACTGAGAAGTTGTAGCCTTAAGTAATTCTGCATAGGCGGCGAACTACCAGGCGAATGCGAAGTATTCACGGTGCTTTGCATCCTGTCCACGTCGCTTACTCTGATTTCTATCCCATTGTTTGATGCTAGGCCGTCGTCTCCAGCAACATGGTGATTCTTCGACGCTGATGGAGGAGTAGCACCATCATATTGGTTTTGGCGATGATTCGTTAAAACCGCATGCACGTTCGCTTCTCGTGTCACTTGCTCCAAGCCGTTGTCTGTCGAGCCTCGCAAGTGCACTGGCTCGTTCCCTGGACTAGAGGGATCTGCGACGTGCGCTGCGCTCACTGCTGTTCTAACCGAATGCTCTGGCAAATCCCTCGTGTTTTGTTGAGGTGGCGGTCCGTTGCGAGGAGCTGAGGAGGAAGAGGAGCCGCCGGCTTTATTTAGAAGGGAAGGTGGTAATGAATGTTATATGCTTTTCTTGAGACGAGGGATTTTCACTCTATCTAAGATCCCTCGTTTGGAGGTGCCAAACAACATTCTCGGCTCCTAACTCCAATCTCCGCGCCAGACTAGGTACTGCAACTCCCGTTCCACTGTTGCCGGCTGGCATAACCATGGATGCACTGGTGTTATGACGCCCACCATTCCTTTGCTGATCATATTCCATCATCTGTATCCCACCTTGATTTCTTTGTTGATACTGCATCATCTGTTCTTGGATGTAAGCTTCTTGTTCATCTATGTCGTATTCCTGCTCCAGTACATCTTGTTCCTCTTGGTCTCTAGCCTCTCCTCCTTGGTTAATATTACCGTGAAAGTTCACACTAGTACCTCGTCCACCATTGAAGCAGTTCTCCACACTAGTTGTACTTGCGTTCGTCCGTGGTTGAGGTTCAAACGATCCTCTTGGCACGCGTGCAGTACCAGTACCAGTAGTTGATGTTCCCCGAACAACGCCAGCTGCACCGCGCATACCCACAGAACTACGAGGATCACGACCTGCGGCTAGTTATCATGAATGGCATTTTTTCCATTATTAGGCAGAACATGAACATCCTGGCAATCTATTTTCGTCCCCTTGCACTTATATTAAGAGGAGTGCCTGCTCCAGGATGCTAATAGTACGTCGATGGACATGGAGAAAACTACATCATCCATACTATTCCTCGAGAAGACATTCCCGCTCCTCCTGGTGCTATTCTAGAGGCCGTCATTCTTGCTCCTGTCATTCTTGCTCCCGATGAAGCTGTGCTCGCTCGTCCAGCTGTACTACCTCCGGAACTTCTAGCACCCCCTCCACCACTAGCGTTCATATTCGCTGCCATTAAAGCGCTGTGTCTTCGCTTCATCATTGATTCTTTACTGGCGGGATCAGCGTTCACAATCACGTCCATCAGATTCGATTAGACGGGTCACGTAGTACTTTTTTTACTTGGTATTAAATTGCTGTTGCTACCTTCAAGTTCAAAATTATGCCCACTCTTGAAACTATGCGTTGCTTCTTGAAAAAGTCATACTATGACTTTTAGTCGCAGGCATGGATAGACAACACTTTTTCAAGATGCATGATAGATAGACCACAACATATCAAGATGCATGATAGATAGGCATAGATAGACAACATTCATAGGCATAGATAGACCACAACATGCATATTCTAGAAGAAAGAAGCCTTAATTCGAGGCAGTATGTCTGCAAAGATGGACGATGTTGTCCTGGGCTATCCGGTAGCTGCTCCTCAACGAGGTGGCATAGGAAGATGTCGACGAGGCGCGCTTCCGAGCGCCACTCGCTGTGCGCTGTTTCGGAGGCACTTTCGGGTAACTCATCTTTGTGGCAGCACTCGTTGTTCCACAAAATTTGTTAATAATAATAATACACGGTAACGACGTGAATTTGTCCTACTTAATACACCGCAACTTTGTCCTTAATACACGGCAACGACGTGAATTTACAGTACTGAGCAAACTCTAACGCTCACTTTTCACAGGTAGACTCTAAGAGCGCTCACTTTCCGTAGTTCTCCTCATGATTACTACAGCTGCTCTGTACTTTTCTCAATTGGAGTTGCTAAGTACTACATAGATGTTGTAGTGCTCACTGATGAGCACGAGTTGTACTGTCTCTCGTTTCCACGCTTTATTCATCGCTTTTTTTCACGCGGTTGCTTTTCCTTCATTCTGCTCAGAATTTTTCAACTTTAGCGATCATCTACTTTTTAGGCACAGATACCCCTGATACGAAAATCGCTGTGTTTTCTTGCTTGGCACTCTACATCATTTCTTTTTCTGCATTATCTGTCTTCATACTAGAGTGGGTGTCCTCCCAGTTCCTTGAAATTGGATGCTATTAATTTTCATCATACTCACTCAGAAATTATTCACCGGGGTGGTCTTTAAATCTTCCTTTCTGTGCAATCATTGAGTGATCTTCTGAAAACCAGAATGCCTAAGATAGAGGCATCTCCCCTGTCGTCGACAGCACCTTTCTCGAGACCGTTATATATAATAGAATACGAGGCAACTTCCGAACTTCTGGATTGCATGGCATGGATGGCATGCATTGCATGGATGGACCACCCAAAAAACAATATATTTTGCGCGGCGCCCTTCGGGCGCCATACTTCCTCCGCATTACCGGGCTGCTCCGCCGAAGAATTACTTTACGATACACGAACACAAACACGGCCCCAGTGTGACCTCGCCCCAGAAACAAGCAAGGGGCAGCGCAAACGCCGTGGCCTGTGTGCGCCAGGGAACAGTGGGCAAGACGGTCGAGATCACAGGCAAGCTAGCCTAGTCGAGCTACTTACAATAGCTAGTACGTGCCAGCACTATTCAAGTACTCCTACAACGGAGCCAAGTACTCCTATGCCGCGCCCTGAGTCTTCGTTCCCGTGTCGCTCCCTTAAGAAGGTCGCACTCTGACCCCCTCGGCTCATGCAATGCATGCAATGCCATGCAATCCATCCAATCCAACATCCTTCTTACGAAATGTTCTAATATAATATATTCCTACCCACAACACTACAAGCTAGCAGGCTCTTCAGCATTCCTACACCACCAGTGCATCAAGAATCTGAGTCTTCTTTCACATATTCCTACACCAGTACCAGGAGCCTCTTTATTCCTACGCCAGCACCACACGCAGACTCTTTATTCCGACGCCAGCACAAGCAGACTCTTTATTCTCGTCACAATCTCATGACAAACTGGAACTGCCGAGAGAGCAACGACGAGGACAACGTAGTACGTTCCCCTCACATCGAGGCGTATCAGCCGTTCACGTCTCGCGGCGTCATCATGAAAATGCGCAGAGTCCATGCAGGCGCAAAAAGCGAACACTACGAAAAGCAAGCTTCGGAGGATATCTATCACCACGTGCAGCAGATATCCGAGCACAGTTGCACTAGGACGTACGCGGAGAGATGAGCTGTTCGAAACCCTGCTATTCTTTGTACTGCTATTCTTCTCCACCAACGGGTCTTTCGTGCTATTACTACTACTACTATTAAAGCTCAGCCTTCAATGGTCACCATGACTCGGAACGGAAGGGACCTCCTTCAAAGCTCTCCCCTTTGTTCCCTTCGTATATTTCCCCTGTTGGTTCTCTCAAGAAGGGGTCGCCAGTGACCAACCCCAATGACCATTGAAAGCTGAGCCTTAATACTACTACTTTTAGTCCTGGATCCTAGGCTAGTTCCTATATTTCCTGCATAATTGCTGGAAGTACTAGTTCTCAACACAGTACTAGATGAAGATGATGTACAACTTCTAGTTGATGTTGTTCTGCTAGTCGTAGTTGTTCGAGAGCTCGAGGACATCTTCTTCGAATTTTGTTCCTCACAAGAATTCTTTCTCTCCGTATCTTCTTCTTTATCATCTCCACCCCATAGCAAGACTCGGCGCAATCGATAGAAGACCCAAAACTGAAACAGCGAAAACGCCAATTCCAACATTAAAGGTCGAAAGTCATTGGCCACTGATTTTGAAAGGACAATCTACTACCTCTCGCTACTTCAGTGCTGACCACCAACATGTCAACATTTTTTCACGATAGATAGTACCTCTTTTTGTGTAAGTACCTATTGCTGTCTACTTGAAGCAAGTCTGAGCCTTAACAACAAAGCATAAAAAGCCAGGTAATCGAGAGTATGAGGTAATTGAACTTGTCTTAGGACAGCTAGTTTTTCTCGTGTTCTTTGAAGCATCTGTTCCATCGTCCTTCTAGGGCGCTGAGTAGGTGACTCCCGTTCTTGACGGTTTGGGCTTGCATCTTCTCGGCTGACTAGGCTTGCATCTACATCTTCACTCTTTCTAATAGAAGATGATCTTTTGTTTTCTTCCTTGTTATCGCGGCTTATTGTGGGACCTATTGGAATCGAGAAGTACGAGTCTGCATTTGTTAGCGTTCCCTTTTATTCATCTCGGTGGTCTCCTCATCTCGACCCCATTTTCCTTGTATTTCACAAGGGAATACTTTAATATGTAGACAGCGCAAAATAAGGGTGTCAAGACGGTCTGTCATGCTGAGTGAGATGAATAAAAGCTGTGACCATAAGTCTGCTGCTAGAGAAGCGGAGATGTCTCCTGTTGCGGAGATGTCTTCTGTGGCATCAGAGCGCTGTAGAAGTTGCACAGCAGTGCTCGTCCTCCTCGAAGCAGTGAGAGAACTAGTGCCAGAACTAGTGACAGCCTCCTGTCGTAGTTGTTGGTGTTCCCTGGATGATAAAGTAGGTGAAGAAGTATCTGCTTTTTCCCGTTGATGTATTACAGCTTGCCGACTTGCACCCTTCAGAACATCCTTGAGCTATTTCCTCCGTGGAAAGGGGTCAAGCATGGCAGTTGTGAAGGACGCAATGTGGAAACGAACCCTTAAATGTAGTTGTTGGCTGGATGATAAGGTAGGTGAAGAAACAGCTATATTTTGCTCAGTCACTTGTCCCTGTCTGTGTTCGCTGAATGATGTTGAAGTATCACCCTCACTAAAAACAACGTCATGACTTCTGCCAATTTGTTCCGTACTCGGAAGCTGTGGCTTCGGATCGTTCCAGGAAGTTTTAGCTCTGCTCACCACTTCCTGTCCACCATCGTCTTGCTCCTCATTTTCTTCCACTGCTTTGCTTAGCGCTGACAATATTACCGAGTAAAGCGTGAGATAATCACTTTTTGAGGAGTTCATCTCTTCAGAAAATTCTGAGAAGGAAAGAAAGAGAGATACTCTGGGAATAAGCTTTGAAGCAGAGAGAACAGTGCAAAAGAACGTCTACCTGCTATTCTAATCAGATTAGAGATATTAGAATAAGTCTTAATTTTTGTCGTGAGCCTTAACTTAGCGATTTCTGCTGTATTTTCATGATCAACATCAGCAAACAGACGGGGTCTCGCATCTTTCTGCAGGTCTTGCAGCAGGTCTAGATCCCGGCTCGCCTCATAGAGACCGAAGGTCGTGACGGCAACAAGTAAAAGAAAGCAGAGAAGTAGTCCAGTCAAATCCAGAACTTTGATATAGCGTTCCGAAACGACTGGACGAGGAGATGCACTTACTCTCGTTGCATCCGACCTGACTCCAGCTTTTGTCTTCAAAGTGCTCTCGTCATTCTCTGCATCTGCTGATGTTCCTGGCCGTGTTCCTGCTCTACTAGTATTGATGCCACCTTGTACTTCTTCTTCTTTTTCTTCTTCTTCATTTTCTTCTTCTTCTTTTTTCTTCTCGTTGGTTTCTGTAGTTTTTACTTCTGACTTCTTGTAGTTCTCCATCACAAAATCCTTCCTAACCCAGCTAGTATAGTCACCAGTTACTCTTTTCAAAGAGGAAGATGTTAATGCTCCCCCTTGCTTAAGCCATTCGATGTAGTAGACGAACACCGCTGATGCCGTTAGTGGCTGCACTATGTATTGCATTCGTCACAACAAGAACTTCCTTCACTCTTCGTTCCTGAATAATTGGGAAACAAGTCAAGAATGGTAGTCGTGCGGGATGCAATATCGTGGAAACGACCCTTAACACAAACATTGCCAGTGACGCAAGCGCATCAGATTGGATAGTCAGTGAGTTCGTGACTACACCTGCAATCACTGAAAACAACACGTCAACCGCTGATGTCATCGCACCCAGAGCGAAATAACGCATCTTCACTACTTGCTGTAATCGGCAAATATCATGATCATCTCTTAGAGGAGGACTCAAAACATTTCATTTCTTGGCCTCTTCATTTACTCTCGTCCCAAGAATTCTTGTCCTAAGAACGAAATAATTAACGGGAGAAAGATCATCACACTCACACTTGTAGAAACAAGGAATTGCAGCTTTGAGCGGCCTTAAATCTTCGTAATCTACTTCCCTGGTTGAGGACGAGGACCATGAAGAAGACAGCTCCTTGAACCAGCTTGCACTCCATGTCGAAGATAAGTGTATCTCATTCTTTGTGCCTTCTTCTAGACGACCTGATGGTGAGTCCTCCTCGTACTTTCTGCCTACTTTTAGAGGTAGGCTTTTGGTGCTTGCTTACCCCGCTTTTTATGCCTTTCTCCCTTAGGAAGGCATAAAAAGCGGTAAGAAAAGCACCTTTAACCTACCCTTAATACTTGTTCCATCTCGTGGTCTATAATAGCTCCTGTAAAAGTAGTAGTTGAAGAAGTGAGAAGTGGAGGAGGAAGATTTCCTTCCCCCCCACAACAATTTCCTTCAACCTCCACGACATCTGGTGCAAACGACACACGATTCTTCTGTCGTTCCCGAGCAGTCGTGTCAGCACCTAAAGCAGCTGCGCCAGGAGCTTGCACGAAACTACGACGATGTGATGTAGCCGATGTTGTTGGAGTCTCATTTTTGTCTTGAGCATTTTGTACAGGGGTACTAGTATTTCTTGGAGGCATTTTGTACAGCAGCTGGAAAACAACCGTTGGACGGAGTCTAAGTAATCGGCTCAGTAGTGGTAATCGCAGCAGTGGCGGTTTTTTACCCATGCAGGAGCACGTGATAAAAAACTTTTACATTACTTCAATCGATGGATTGCCCAGGGGAAATGTTGACAAGAAGAACCACTGTTTTACCCAGCACCAGCCCATGGTTACATTGATTTCCATAAAAAAGCATGAGCCTGCTAATCCACAAATTGCATTTGCTGTTCTCCCAGTCAAGTCTTCACAAGCAGATAGATGCTAAGTTGCGCGATCAATCAACTATATCCGGTCGATCAATCAATCAAAATGAATCATGTGCTCACAAAGATCGGCGTTGACTCCACATAGTGGGCAATGTTGAAGCAGATGCAGAGTTTTAACAAAGAGAAAGAGTGAAGGGCAACGAAATTGCACGGCTGAAATAACGACGTAGCAATGGGAGGAGTGGGACGGATTGAAGGGGGGCTTAATCTTTAGGGTTCATCATCATGCGGCACCGAAACATTAATCGGCACACAGATGCAGATCAGAAGCCTGTAGAGCTTAGTGGTTTAGGCGTTGGCCTGTTCACTTATCAGGAATAGTGTGGGAAAGCGAGTGGGATGCGTTTTTGACGGAGCTACACCCACACCAAAAATTCTTCCAAGAAAAACTTGTCATCTTTTTACAGATACAAAACACGAAACGAAACGAGTTGGAGGGCGTTTATTGGAGGGTGTTTAATTCATCGTCATGTGTCGTCTGCTGTGTTTCTAATCATTTCAGACATTTTTCACGCCAAACTACGGCAGTAGACGAGACCCGTACGAACGACCGACTCTTGTGGTAGTGGTACATCTACAAGTCCTCGTGTCATTTTTCTCACTTAATCGATATCCGTGCACCACAATTTTCAAACGATATAACGACCCTGTTGCGTTTTAACACCGATTGGCTCATCGAACTATCTTCTACAAAGGACAAGTGTAGTCAGCTCTTCTTCTACAAAGGACAACTATAATTTATAGGAGACGAGTTATCTTGTGGTCGTCTCCACGTTGTAAGCAGAATCCGATGGGAGAATACAATTCAAATGAAGATACAAGAACCAATACCAAAGGAACAGCTGTGGCACTTGAGGCTTGAAGATCCTCACTCGTTTTCTACTCATACAAAAGCCAATTTTGATGCAGCGTATTTGTGAAAATGAGCATCTTCTAGTAATCTGTAAAAGTGAGCTTCTTCTGGTAATCTGTGAAAGTCGACATCGCCCTGCATTCCGAGGAGAACTAGCGGCTCCATGTCATCTGGCCTCGCTATGGATGTCAACATGTCATGCTATCGACCTCGCATTTGTTTTGTTGTTGTTGTGTCCTGCTGTCTACGCGCTCGGAGCATTGAATTCAACGAATTTGGAAACGCCAACTGATTCTTTACATTAAAGCTCAGCCTTCAATGGTCACTGACTCCGAACGGAAGGGACCCCCTTCCAAGCTCTCCCCTTTCCCTTCGTACATTTCCCCTGTTGGTTCTCTCAAGAAGGGGTCGCCTCTTCGATCTCAGTGACCAACTCCAATGACCATTGAAAGTTGATTCTTAGTCTTTACAGTGACCACCTCTACTAGCTCAGATGCACCGTCGCATTCGGGAACAGCCCTGCTTTTTCTAGTGTTTCCCTCATATTCGCCAACAACTTTGTAGGTGGCGGAAACGCGATTTTCAACACCAACGGTGGTTGCTGATCCCGATCTACTCCGCCTGAGGCCGTTGCTGTGGAACCCGGTCGAGCAGTAGATGTTCCAGCGTTTGCGACATCTAGAAGTCCTAGTTTGCCTTGAAGGTGGTCAATAATCATTATCTGTGGGAGAATGGAGGGACGTTCTCCCTGTAGGTTGTTCTTCTTCACGTCAATTCTAAGGGGAATCTTCCAGTAAAGATGCCTCACTTCTTCATTCCTAAGGGGAATCTTCCAAAGAACAAGATACCTCAACCTCGCGTCTAAAAACTGGAATCTTCCAAAGAACAAGATACCTCAACCTCGCACGGACTACATGAGATAATGATCTTCACCTATGTATAATGGCCATAATTTTCTCTAGCAGCTGTGTAAAGATGCGCAACTGTGGAGGTTTTTGGCAACGATAGTCGACAAGAGCCTTCCCGATGCTTCACTAGTATACTGCACGCGTCCTCATCGCCCTCGATCAAAGCTCCAGAGCCGGATGGTGTTTGAGTGCTGAAAACTGGTTTCCGTGGTAACGCTGGTGAAGGACTACGGGTAGGAATGAAAAAGGGTAGGGAAAATGCATCGTCTCAGAAGCAATCAGCTGAACGAGGAGTACCCTTTTCTTCTTGCTTTTTTTCTCTCTCTTGCAGATGACTCATGTGATTTAGGGATGATGCATTTCCGACGCGACCCTTAATGCGAGTGGATGCCTTGTGCTCATCGTCTCTTATCGGCTCCAAAAGCAGTCGTGATCGATTCTGTTGAGTGTCAGACGAGGGGTCGTTCCTTCTCAGCTCAGCACGGTTTGCGGCTCGCAAGCGTGCAGCATTGCGTTCGGCACCGAGAAGACGTTCCTCCATCTCCTTCCGGACACTGACAATTTGCCCGTTCGCCATGATGATCTGAGAGGTGTTTGCCATCATAATCTAGTCAGAGAAAACGAGGCCAGCATCGAGGTCAGAATGGCGGTGTGGAGAGGTGTTTGCCATCATAATCTAGTCAGAGAAAACGAGGCCAGTATGGAGGTCATAATGGCGGTGTGGAAATCAATATGGTGATCTGATGGGGATGTTGGAGAGGTGTGCGTGTGGAAACCAATCTATAACATAATAATAACCGAGACCGTTAGAGTTTTGGACCCAACCCAAAACAAGACTTTTGGAACAGCCTCGCTTCTGGAACAGCATTCCCAGAACAGGGTCGCTGGGGCGCCCTTTCCAGAAGAGGTTTCTGGAACACCCACTCCAGAAGAGGTTTTCTGGAACAACATGTCCAGAACAAGTTTTCTTGGGCACCCTTTCCAGGGCAGGTTTTCTGGAAGAGCCTCTCCAGGTCCAGGCCACAATTTCTGGAGCAGCCTTTCCAGGGCAGGTCTTCTCGCGCAGCCTTTCCAGAACAGCACTGCCGAGAACAACACCACACGCACACGCACACGCACACCACTCTACTCTACTCCACACACTACACACCCACCACTCCACTCTACTCCACGCACTCACATGCCCACCCGTGGGCGGGTCTTTCTACCCACAGCCCCACACAGTTCCACCCGAGTACGGGTTTGCCCGCCCACAAACGTACCGCGCGCGCTTGTTCCTAAAGCCTAACGACATGGCCGACGACTTGTAATGGAATGTCATGATGATCTGGTGGGGATGGGGATGGCAAGGTGTGGAAGTCATTTGATAAATTCATGCCCAAACCACCGCAGGGGTTTGAGGTGGACACGAAAAGGAAATCTAGTAAAATGCTATGGATTATACGCGTGTTCATCTTTCATAATCCAACATAATTCCACAAATCTTACCTGTTTCGGTAGTCTGGCCAGAAAGCTTTCTTGCGCAGAGCGGGACTCAAGCTTGGCATCGTAGTCGTCTTTTAGCCGATCGACCGCTTTCAGTCGCACTCCTTCTGGGTAATCCTGCTTCAGCACATACGGGAAAAAACCTTCTGCGATTAGCATGGGGACAGACAAGGAGAACCTTCAGATGGGAAAATTCATGAAGCGATACTATTTTCACATGTTTCTTTTTTTAGTTCTTGTTTGTCCAGGACCAGGAGATGAAATCTATTTAGATACTAGTTCGTCGTGTTTGATCATCTACGACAAGACACACACGACTTAAGAACCTCTACAACAGTGGAGCCATGGTATAGCTCCACTTTGGAGTTGTAGACATGATACAATCTTCATCAAGAGCATCTCCAATGTAAAGCACCACACATCATAAGAGTATATCCCGCAAGACCCGTTGCGCTGCCTGCTGTTCGTACTTATAGAACGGATAGTCAGCAACTCGCAATCCGTCCTTGAAAAAAGTAATGTTAGAGCTAATGCCTTCACATATTCATGTTCTAAAACAAACTTAGCAAGTTTATCCAACGAGTGTAGTGAAAAGCTGAAGTTATAGGCCGTATGCATTAGGATTAGGTTGAGAAGCATTCATAATGGCGGGACAAAACAGTTCCACCATGTCATCAGTGGCTTCTCTTCCCAGTAAAAAAAAGGGAACCAAGAAGGATCCTGATGAATACACGTGAAGGAACTAGAATGCGACTATTCGAAAAACTGAAATAAGCAAGTAACTACTGAAAATAAGCGAGATACTGAACAAGGACAAATAGCCCTGTCAAAGCTGCCTCCCTTATTTCAGTCAGTAACTCGGTTATTTTCAGTTTTCGACTAATTTTTCAGGAGGAGTCTAGTAGCCTTAATGATCGCGACAACCTGTTCGGTATCGAATTTGTGCACCCGGTCTATCTTGACTATCTTGGCTTCGCGTTCCGCAATTTCGCTCAACTGTGACAGCTTTGATTAGAGCAGGTTATCGAATCACTTTCCTCAAACATGATCCCAGCCACCTCGCTTCTTTTATTTTACTCGAAGGAGAAAAGGCAAGAAAGGATGATCTGTAGTACTGGGGAATGAAATTCGATGGAAACCCTTAATTTGACTGGATTGTGTTTATGTCCACATTAGGCGCAGACGGGGAAAGCCCAGGAACAGGAGACAAACTTCGTGCTGGTGCTGGACTCTTACTCTTTGACGATGAAGAAGGCTCTTTTGACGAACTAAATATTAGAGGTACCAACAGCCCATCTTTTTTTAGCGAATTTTTTAGCGAATTCCAAAGAATTGGCTAAACATTCGTGCAAAAGCTGGGTTGGCGGTACCCATAAAGCTAGTGTTTTGACTTCGCCTTGTCGTTGCCTACCAATCGCAGGACTCGCACTGCGTGCAGGCTGGGATTGGGAACCTGCATTGCGAATACGATGTAGCCCCTCTCCGTGTTGATTCCTACTATCATCGTTTCGTCCTCTTGCACTAGTGCTTTTTGACTGATGATGAACAATATCGGTTGGGGAAGGTGAATAAGCACCTGGCCCACCACCATCTGGAGTACTTCCTCTTGAGCTTCCACCGACCCAGACCATGCCGTAATCCGCCAAGAACTTTTTCATATCCTGGATCTCTTTTTGCAGTTGCGTGTTTTCACTTACCACGTCGTACAGCTGGACACTATCCTCACCACGCGACAAGGATTTCGTGGCAGTCTGAAGTTCACGTCGCAAAGAATGTTAGAGCAGATAGTAGAGCTCACTACAAGAGCATGTAGGTACAACATGAAGATCAGATGCTCCTTCGGTCTGAGAGTGCTGGAGGGGTGGTGAAGGTGTCCGTGCATACGACACAGCGCAGTGAAGCGTCGCATGCACCTCCCACCAAAAGACGCTTCCGCCAGCGTTCTAGACGCGAGAGCCCACACATTAATTCCTGTAGTGATCCTTCTTACCTTCTAACATTGTCAGAATGCCAAGATCGTCTTCGTCAGAGAAATATAGATAGAAGATAGTCTTTGAAAATGATGCTTTACCTGCTTGAGCCTTAATGTTGATTTTCTCCTTTCGCCACATTCAACTCACTTTCTACGTTTTGTAATCGCCGCGCCATAGCACCTACTAGGGATTCTTTCGTAGCTGCTTCTGTTGGAGCTCACGACCCTGATCCGTGCATGCTAAGATGTATCTTAATGCCCCTTTCTCCTGATTGGACAGCGACCCTGATCCATCTTGAGACGCGTATTAATACCCCTTTCTCTCCCTTATTTAGGAGGACAACGTCTTTCATAGTTATAAGTAAGTATTCTCAGAACGATAAGCAGTGGTAGATTAGCATTCGATCGGGGAAGCCTTAATTCTAGGACTGAAGTTGGAGATCCTGGTTTTCCCTGCGCTAAAATCGCACCCATCTCCGCACTTGCGCGTGCAAAATCTGCCTGATGCTGGAACTTGGTTAAGAGGGGGTCAGAACCATGGACTTGTTTTGCTTCATCCATTAGAGCTACAACTACGAGTACAAGTAGTACAAATTCTACATGTTGACGACGTGACCTGATGAGATCGAGGTGAATCATTTTGAGAATTGAGATCCATGTCCTTGCCCACTTCTCTTTCGGCTGGAAAATGACGCCAAGAGGCCAAGGCCCAACCCTGACCCTAAAATAGGCCAGTTCACCAGCAATGAGGATGCTCGCTTAGTTCCCTTAAGTCTAGGAGTTGCCTGACGTGGGTCGGCACAGGTAAACGCGCAGGTGGACTACGACTGCGGGATAAGGGAGACGACGGCGGACTCAGGTCATTAAAGCTTCCGTTACTATTATGAGTCACCTTTGTAGAGGTCAAGTGGCTACTGTGCGTAGATGGATCACGATCATCTTGTTCATCATTAAATATTACAAGAAACCGGGGTCGCCCCTTGGGCGACCCCTCCTTGATAGCAGCACAGTCACAGGCACAGAGTAGAAACATAAGAGAAAGCAAAAAAAAAAGCGACTGAGGCACGGAGCGCCCGCCCCTTGGCCTTGGCGGCTGCCGTCGAGATGATGGAGAAGAACAAAGACCGAAGCAACCCACGGAACCCAGAAC